TGAGATGATAACGATGATTATGGAAATTGTGATATTTGTCGATAGTTATGATGATTTGGGGTACAGGTGAAATAGCGATATTGGTGGTGGTGTGATGGTGGCCGTTTCAAGGCGAGCACATTAATGTGAGACAGAAAGTGATGTTCGGTGGTAGAGGGCAGGTGTGCGTGTGTGTGTGTGTGATGGGAGTCATCACAGCCAGTCCCCTGGTCATGGTTGTCATCATGGTAAGCTGTGCCGCGGTCATAGTAAATATGGTAGCATCTGGCGGCCGGAAGAAGAGAGAAACGACGGAATAAGTGGTGTGGAAGGCGGACATTGTTTTTCGTGACGATAACAACAACTTGGTAAAGAGAGGGAGAGGGGAGGGGGGGCGATGGCCTCACCAGCGCCGCTAATGGAAACGATAGTGCAAGTTGTCTTAGACCACGTAGCACCAGGAGTAATAACCGTAACGCCAACAGCACCAGCAGTAACGGCGTGTTAGTGGCGGCTATCAGTGTAGTGGACCTGGTAAAGGAGCGTTGTGGCGCAGTGTTAATGGTGGGGTTTAATGGTGTCTTGCTAATTTCTGCTTGCGACGAGAGAGAGAGAGAGAGAGAGAGAGAGAGAGAGAGAGAGAGAGAGAGTTGCCGCTCCATCCCTCTCTACTGAAGTGCAACATTTATCCAGTAACAACTTTATTATATAATAGAGTTCATTGTACTTCACAGATCACGTAAAACTAGTGTTCACTTGAACTGATGCTCACTTAAACTAGTGCTCACTTAACTGCACCCAAAGAACCGGGGCAAACAAGAGAGCATCGTACCGGGCTGCTTACCAACTGTACCGGGTCCTCTGCTCTGCCCAGTAAACCGGGAGCTGGACATGACTGCTACAATTATGTCATAAACCATTCTTTTACTGCGGGTGTCAGACAGGGCACATTGACTTGGCTTTGTGACCTGGCTTTCTTCTGTTGTGGCCTGGCTTTCTCGTGTTATGACCTGGCTTAATCGTATTGTGACCTGGCTTTAGGACAAATAATTCAGCATCACTATGATAACTCAAGATGACTCTAGGTGACCTCTTGTGATACATTATAAAGGAAATTATTGATTACCTGAAAAATAGGTACTGTTGCTTAGTTTACCCGATTATATTAAGCAACCTAGTCTAACAACCCCCGGTAGTATTATGGTGTTCAATAATCAGAGAGTAAGCTGGGGTGCCTAATCTTCGGGTAATATGAGAAGAAAGAGCAACTTGGGTTAAAGGTGATCGGTGTCATACCATTCGGGGGACTAAGGGATGTTTCGCCACCTTTAAATTCATTTTCTCTGGTAAACAAAAACTAATATAAGTCCCCCCCCCCAAAAAAAAAGTAAATAGTTTTGTCCTTTATATTAAGAAGAATGAGGAATAATGTTGATAACCTACCCTGGATTGTAGGCAACCCTTGTGTTGCTTTCAATATTCATAAAGGCAAAGGAAATCAGCAATGCCAATTACGTCCCTTCAGAGAAAACGGAATGTGGTTGCCCTTGTTTTTTGTGGCTATCACTTGGCTGTTGGTCATAATAATTACATTTAATTTGCATGTAGGACTGCGAGGGTACGAGCCATATATGGTGAGGAGGCCATTATGACTAGAGCCCTGCGGGGTCTCTTGGGGTGACCACGACCCCAGGGGTAGGTGTGGGCAAGGATAAAATACTAAACAGGATAGTTCACTAAGCACTTGTTTTACCCACAGTGCACAGCTTGGTGACGTTACTGTTGTAAACACGCGTCATCTGGTGACCTCCGTGTGTGCCCGCATCTGCTACCGGGACCAATGTATCAACAGTTTTGGTTATTTGTGCACCAGTAATGCTCAAAATCCAAGCAGAGAGCACATCAAGTATTACAGATTTCCCAGAAAAAATTGAACTTGTGATAAATGGATAATTGCCTGCAAGTGGTCTGATAAAATAAACGCATTAGGCTATCTGAGAACTTGTTTGAAGAGGTTTCATATTTCTTTTGTATTTCCTTAAATCAGGAAGGCCTGTCGATATCCAGGTATTTACAGGAAGGTGTGACATTCGTCTTGGTATTTGTGGCCAAAAAGTACTCCGAACATATTTAATAATCATGAAAATTTTTTAAGTTACGCACATTGGTACGTGGGTTTCTTGTGTCAACACCACGCTTGTTTCAAGACGCTAGGGAAGATTTCTTGTAGCTCTTAATTCTGCAGTGTCAGCCAATATCAGGTCATTCAGAAGACCGTGAGACATGTTCTTGCCACGTCTGACAAAAGAAAACAACAATATTACACCAAATATAAGTAAAACCAGAGTTACATCACTTAATTCAACAGTATGTTCGTGATGCTTAACAATTATAGTTATTTGTGCAATATGAGGTGTGATCCAAAAGTTCTTGGACTAGCTTCATTAAATCTTTATTTTCAAGATATTACAGTGAAACTAGTCACCCTAAAAATATTCTCCAGAGGTCTCAATGCAGTGCTGAATCCGCTCCCATTTCTGGAAGTCCTGGTTGGTGAGGCTGGATGTGATGTGTCCTGGATCTCCAGTCTGTTCATGAACTCTGGAAACAGCCAGAAGTCACAGGGGGCCCAATCTGGAGAGTAATGCTGGAGCTATAATTTGAGAACTTTTTATAGCAATAGTTTAACAATTTTCCTTAATTATCAGTAATTTATATTTACGTGTTCACAACTTGCTTTGTAACCAATGAATTTTTCTTCTGGATAAACTTTTATAATTGTATTTTTTTTTTCAAATATTGTACATGTTAAAAATTATTTTCAAGGCAGTGTAACTTCAAGGGAATATGTGATGTTTGTGGCAACTTGGGGATGTGTGAGGCTCTTAAGATCTATTTGTATTTGAGGAGGCTGATTGATGCTACCATAAGGTCTACGTGATGCTTCTAGGGGTGCTCATAAGTTGCTAGTTGTGTACAGCTAGTGAGGGCTATGTGATGACACCAAAGGCTTTCTGTCACTGCTAGGGTCTGTGAGGCTGCCAAGGGCTGGGTGCTGAGGCTCGTCTGAGCTCCCTACTATAGAGATAGGCGAGACATGTATCAACCAAGGTACACTGGCAGCCTTGCATGAACCAGGTTGGTTTACCCTTATGGGACCCTGTGTACACAGGTAGTAGTACCATAAGGGCAACCTAACCTAGCAGGAACACCCTCTGGTGTCAATCATTACAATAAATTTGTCATATAAATAAAAAAAAAACAATTTTCGTTGTTTATATTAATCCTAAGAAAAGTTGAAAACAAAAGTGTACCAAAGGCAAAAATGATAGGGCCAATTTTTCTACTTTCCCGAAATGTAGAAAATGTACTTATGATCTCTTGAGAATCAGGAAGATCGCAAGTTCGAATTCTCAAAAGATCGTATCTACTTATAAGTTTTTTTTCTCTTAAGTTCGAACGTACGATCTTTGGAGAATTACAAAGATCGTAAGTTCGAACTTAAGAAAAAAAATAACTTACGATCTTTTTAATTCTCAAAAGATCGTAAGTATCTACTTTTCGGGAAAGTAGATTATCTACTTTTCGGGAAAGTAGATTATCGACTTTTGGGGAAATATTACCTAATTTTCCGAAGTAGATTATGATAGAAAACGGGAAATTTATATCACAAAAAATGGGAAATATCTACTTTCTGGGAAAGTTGGTTATCTACTTGTAGATAATCTACTTTTCGGGAAAGTAGATACGATCTTTCGGGAAACCGAACTTACGATCATTTTAATTGTCGTAAGTTCGAACTTAAGAGAAAAAATCACTTAAAATGGATACTTACGATCTTTTGAGAATTAGAAAGATCGTAAGTTATTTTTTTCTCATAAGTTCGAACTTACGATCTTTCTAATCCTCAAAAGACTGTAAGTTCGAACTTTAGAGAAAAAATAAATTTTAAGTACAGTAGATACGATCTTTTGATCGTAGACGCTAAAAGCGAACCTGGAGGTCTGGAGCGATGAGTGGGCGGGTGTCAGACCTCCTCCGCCAGATGTATCAAGACATGGCTACGTGAATAAGCGAAAGTAATAATCTTGAAAAATTAATATCTCGGTTATCCTTAATCTCCGGGGAAAATATCATATAAGAAAATGTCTTAGAAGTGTCTAAAACATTACGAAACGCATTTTAATAACAGCGAAAGAAATTCCGGTGTAAAATTATAAATTCACCACTTTTTATACTGGTACTGTATTAACAACAACGATAAAGGTAATAATAATGACGACATACGTAAGATGATAACCGATAATAATCTCTTGTGGTTATAGCTGCCTGTGTTTACCACAGTCTAGATCCTGCAGCAAGGAGAGAATGCTGTAAAGTTTAACGTTCTCTTTTATTATGGTAACAACACCTATAACATGGAAACAACTCTATTTACTGGCTACATTTTATCTCTTCAGGATTATACACAAAATGACTTCTTAACAGCAATGCTGGATTTACAAAATATATTGTGGCGAGATAATATTTACAACTCTAAGATGCACCTTGATTACTGAGGATTCCCCAAAACTGAATAAGAATCTGGCGTTAGCCAAAATAAAATCCTTAAGGTCGTTTAGATAACTCAGAGGGTTAAGAAACTATGCTAGTTTTGTCATATTGTTCGAAGGGGTAAAAGTAATTTATGGTCTGACTATACCCCTTATGTTCATTCCTTTCATAAGTCCTTCACAAAGAAATGGTAGAAATATACAGTATGTAGTCACCTATCTGAGCACGTTTCCTTCGCTACCACATAACCATAAGTACTGTATTATTGTTACCCCAACTGTTCAATCTTCTCTGAAAATACTGTACTTTTCACTTTAATTTTGTACGTAATTTTATATTACCAATAAAACTTGTCTAACTTGAGATTGATTTATTTGAACTTTTATTGTTTGTGTATTTCATTAAATTTTTAAACTATTTATATATTATTTGTTACGCATAATACTGTAGTATCTATTGTTTCTCAGGTGCGTGTGGTGCTCCGCGTCTCACCAAAAATCAAGATGGGTGATGGGGAGACTGAGGTGGTGACCTTGGACAAGCGGCGTCGACAAGTCACTCTAGTTGATCCTCAGGCACGCCAAGCACAGGAGAGCAGAGTGGGTGTTGCGGCACCTAAGATGTTTGCCTTTGACCAGGTGTTTACACAGGAGGATCCCCAGGTAATGGCCATGAACTTGTTCATTAAGTAAGACAGTTAAGATTAAAAAGAGATGGTGGCTTGAATTCAATATACAGTTTAATTGATTGTTGACTGAAATTACTACTGGCATTGTGAGTATATTAATTTTTCAGATTTGCTATAAATGATTAACACTGCTTAAAACCCATTGGCCAACAGAGCGAGGTAGTGTCAGGGGCTGTTGTTGATGTACTCCATGCCGTCCTTGCCGGAAATGATGGGTGTGTGTTGTGCTTTGGTGGTGCAGTCCTGGGAAAGACTTACACTATGCTGGGATCACACACTGGCCCAGGGGAACTGGGGGTTGTGCCATCTGCTGTGGCCTGGTTGTACAGAGCCATTGTGGAGCAGAAGGCCAAGAGTGGTGCGAGGTTTAGCGTGAGGGTGTCAGCTGTTGCAGTTGATGCAGCAGGAGCCATGCTGACTGATTTGCTTGCCGAATATGCACAAGGTTTGACACTCTCCATTGTCTAAGTTGTTGCTAAGAATACTGTAGCTGGTTATTTACATTTGTGATAAATTTCATGATATATCTGTACTGTAATTAAAAAAAATAATCTTTTAAGTTCAAAGCTTATCAATGTGTGTACGTACTTTTCAAACAGAAGGCGAGGCATCACCCAGTGCATTGCTCCGAGACACCACTGGGGGCTACTTGTCCTCAGTTGCTGAGCTACGTGCACCGTCCCCAGAAGCAGCAGCCCACTATCTTGATGTGGCTGTAGCTGCACGATCCTCACATGGACGCATCCAAGTGCAATCAGCACAACAGGCTCCTCCCACCCCTGGCTCTGCAACATTACTTTACACACTCCATATTTATCAATATGCTGTTGATAAGTCAGGCAAAGGAGGAGGCGAGTAGAATTTTCAAAGACCAGATAAATTTATTACTTAATGTATTGTGAACTGTATGTTCCTAGATTAAAAATCTATGAGTAATAAGATTGTTTTTGACACAGAATAGGATATTGTACATTGGTGTATAATTTATGTAATATAGTACAATTTTAATAAATTCTATGTCCTTCTGTTGCAGTTGTTGGTGGTCGTAGTCGCTTTCACATGATCGACATGGGTGACCTTAGTGGTAGCAGTGGTGGGATGTCATTATCAGCTCTCACATCAGTCCTTTTAGCAATATTCAATGGTCAAAGATATCTCCCAAACAGAGAAAACAAGCTAACCATGTTGCTGAAGGAGGCCTTGGGCTCTGTGACCTGTCATGCAGCAATGGTGGTTCATATTTCACCATCTCCAAGACATGCACAACACACCCTTGCCACCCTCCAGTTGGCTTCTCGAGTTCACCGCATGAGACGCAAGAAGTTAAGGGTATGTAATTTTGTTACTCTTTGCCAGTATGATCCTCTTTTTCTTAATAATTTGCAGATTTGAAATTTAATATATTGTATACTATTATAAGATAAGTAATATCAAAGTTCTAAAAACTTGATTTTATTGGAAGTTACCCCTTAAACTGTGGGCACTGTCTGTTGACATGTACAGTAACTACTGAGTAGTCTTAATATCTTACAGTATTTTAATAATGGATCACATAACCTAACTCTTATGTTTCAGGTAAAAATAAGATACTGAAGCATTTTCCTCATGGGACAAGGCTCCTCAGTGTCATTTGATGTTAATCTGAAAATAAAATTATTTAATCCTGGAAATTGATGATTATTATTATTAATTTTATTTCATTTTATATTTTGTTTTGTCTCCCTCAGGGTCTAGGAGGGTCCAGTTCTGGAGGTAGCTCAGAGGGTTCTCACAGCAGGTCTTCAGGAGGAGACACCTCTGCTGGATCATCATCTATGGACTTTTCTTCATCAGAACAGTCATGTGATACAGTAATATATATTGGTGGTGGTGGTCCAGGAGATACAACCGATAATGAACATCCACCTGTATTTATGCCTCATCACACCAACCAACGACTATGGCCAATAACTCGACTTAGGTCGATGGAACATCTACGGCCTCATTCGGCATCTCCGACGCCTGCACACTCACGTCGAGCTGCCTCTGCAAGCCCAACTCCTACATCACGTTCTGTACCCAATGGAAGATCACAGCTTAAACCAAGACCACCCCCACGAACAGTTAGCAATGTCAGTAGTCCAGCTAGTTCTGGAAAAGTATCCCCTGGAGGTGGATTTATACGTCATCAGCCAGGTGTAAGTCGTGTAGCATATAACAGCACTAGTGGACAGCAGCCTCTCCTATCATCATTTAAACCACAAGTCACCCTTGGGCCTCTAGTGCCTGGTGATCTCAGACATTTTAACTATAATGCATATGAGGAACCAAATAATTTGGTCCCCGTATTCCAACGATCCCGTCTCCCTATTGCAACACAACAACTCCACCATCAAAAACAATTAGAACAACAGCAACATCAGTTACAGCAACAGCATCTACAACAACAGCAACTGCAACAACAGCAACAACTACAACAACAGCAACAACAACTACAACAACAGCAGCAGCAGCAACAACAACAACAACAACAACAACAACAACAACAACAACAACAACAACAACAACAGCATCAGCAATTACAACAAAGCCAGCAACAACAAAAACAGCAGATGCAACAGCAGCAAAAAGTTCAACAGTTTCAGCAGCAGCAACAGCATTACCAACATCAAAAGCTTCAACAGTTACAACAACCCCAGCAACAGCCACAGACTGCACAACAGCAAATCCAACACCAGCAACTTCAACAACAATTTCAACAGTTTCAGCAGCAACATCAAAAGCAGCTGCAGAATCAACAGCAGCAACAGTTGCAGCTCCAGCAGCAACAAGGTCGCCTTAATGTAAAGGGCACAGGTGATGCTGTTGTATCTGATGAACAGTGGATTGATGGGCCACGTGTGCACAAGTCACGAGTAACTGCAGCACAAAAGATTAAAACAAGCAAATCCGAAACCTGGGTTGATGGGCCCCAGGTAACACCTATAGGATATGGCTTCATGGATGACCATAAGAAGACCATGATAGAGCGTTGGGTAGAAGTTCAAACAGCTCAGGTTGTTCAACAACTAGAGCAGCAGCAGACTGTACCAGCTCAGATACCAAACCAGACAACCACCAACCAGCAGCAGTTTACTCATCTTACTCAATTCCGCACCTGTGAAGAGTCTACATTAGACAGTGATCAGGATACATTAAGCGAGGATCCACCATCTGGTCCTGGCAGACCACCTGGTCTAGATGCAGCCTTACCACCACAGCCCAATCTCATTGAGGAGCTAGAACGTAAAAACCTCATTCCAACTGAAAATTCTGAAGCTATACCTGATCCTACTCCAAGTGAGACTGAAGTCCAATCAAAAGATCTTACCCTGGATGAGAAAAGTTCTGAGCCTCGTTGTTCTCCAGATGAGGTATCGGGAGCAGATGAGCCTTCTATAGATGATATCTGCTCACAGTGTGAGGCTTTGGCTGAAGAGTGTGAAGAATTAAGTTCTCTACTGTCATGTGAAGAAGAAGAATGCAAGCGGCAAGCACACTTAGGCCTTGGTATGTTGAAGTTGCAAGCCATGATATAAAGATTATGGCCGATTCTTAGTACAGTACAGGGTACCTTGTATTCCTCTTAGACATGAACTATTAGTTTTGGGATAGTTACAAAAATCAATACAAATTAAAAGAAAGTTGTATGAAGTTACTGGGCACTCTAAGAGATATTTGTGATACAGGTAGTTCTGCTAAAACGCGATAATTGTGTTCTTGTAAAATATCGTGTTATAGAAAATCGCGTAACAGAAATAACAGGGCTTATGGAGAAAATAGGGTTAGGTGCAGATTACTCGAAATCGAAAAAATTTAGTAGTTAGCCTAACACAAAGGATAGCACAGTCTAAATAAATGTTACATTCATATCTAATAATGAAATCATACAGTAAATGTAAAACTTTACTTGATGGGGGAGAAGGGTGATTTTGAGGTTGATAAAATCGAGCTTCTCTTCAAGTGTTTTATCCTTTCTTTTACGATCATCACCGGGAATTCTATCACCAGAACGCTTCTTATTGATATTCTTCTTTACTATATTCACAGTTAATACAGTGGGGTATGCTATAACGAACGGATCCTACTACGAATATTCCTATAACGAACGGTTTTACCTATAAAATTGAGAATGCTATAACGAACGAAACTCCTACAACGAACATTATTTATTTTATTTTTTTATTTGTTTTTGTTCTAATTTATTGTTTTTTATTACAAATATTAATGATATTCTTTATTTCAGGGGTTTAGATGCATATTTATGCACTTTTGTACAATTTTTACAATTTTATATTATATTTTTCAGTGTTAAGTGGTTGTATTTGGGGGCCTGGAACGGATTAATCCTATAACAAACAAATGCTATAACGAACAAGGTTCTAGAACCAATTAGATTCGTTATAGCATACCCCACTGTACCACAAAATTGGAGAAATAGTAAGCAAAAATCGCGTTATAGCAAACAAGCGTTCGCGTTATACAAATATCGTTCCTAATTCATAAATCGCGTTAGAGCAAATTCGCGTTATCAAAACACGCGTTATAGCAGAACTCGCTGTACGTTGGCTAGAAGCTTAGTTAGAGGTAACCCTTGGTTCTTGAATATATAGGATCCAAGTTGACATATACTGTTTAGCTTTTTTAGTACTGAACTTGATTCACACTCCTAATTCAGTTCATTAATTTTTTTTACCTTATTAACACTACTTTTTTTCTTTTTTTTTTAAGGGGATTAGCCCACCTGGGCACAGGTCACTGACCCACATCGGGGCCTGGGGGGTGAAAATTTAATAATAATAATAGTAATTCATAGTAAATAAGATTTATAATTAAAAGTAAAATAAAATAATAATAACAATAATAATAATAACACTGTAATAATGATAATAAAGAAAAATAATAATAATCAATAGTTAGAAACGCTATATGTACAGTATGTTGTCTTGTCAATAGTAAGAGAAACAATTGAGATCCTGCAATTGTGTGTAAATGAGGCAGAAAGACAGATCAGCAACCTGGGACTTGATCACAATATTCGTGATGCCATATGGCAGCAGGGTCTACCATTAGACAACACATTATGCTTCCAATATCTTCCCAGGCGGTAGTACCTCCCTGTTTGATAGCTGCCTACTACCTACCTACTTGTTGTCTACCATTAAAAAAAAAAGACTTTCTACATGTTTTTTCTCATATTGCCCAATACAAATTAACCACCGTATTTACTAAGATTCAACAGTAATGGTATTAAAATGCATTTTCATAATTTGTTTAAATAGCCACAGTCTTGGAGGAACCAGAATTAGAAGCAGCAATTACAGCTGCAGATCTGCATAAAGAAGAGCAAGAGCAGGAATATGAAACTGGCCATGAAGTGGACGAGGAGATGAGCACAACTCCAAGGAGAGGCTGGGTCAGGCGTTCTTTGGCTTCCTCAGGAACACACCATTCGACTGAACTGATAGAGGTGCAAGTCCCAGACTATCCTGTGGTTACCGTTGACTGTTGTATACAGGTATGTATTGATCAGGGCAGTCACTTATAACTAATTAAAATACTGTAATTATATGTAATCAGTGACTTAAATGATGATACTCCTAGGGGAGGTTTACCGGGGGTTGTATCTCTAGAAAGTGATCCCTATTTAGTCTCTCTCATGAAAACAGGGAGTCTCCAACTTTTGAACACCTGGACATATGAATTAATCTCCATAAGGTTTTAATCTTTTATTGTTCCCAACTAAGGAATGTTCAGACCACACATACAAACCAAACATCACTTTTGAATTTGTGTGGTGGGGCTCAGACAGCCTCCTCTGTTGCAGATGAATGGTGGCAAAGTTGCTTCTTTGTTGCTTTCCAGGTTAAACAGGAGCTGTATTTTTTATATTAAAAGAACTAGAAATGGACCCTAATGATGGCTGACAAGCATAAGTGTGGTGCTTTTGGTACACATATATCAAAGAAGAGCAATATAAGAGATAAAAATTTACACAATAAAATATTTGGAGAAAGGAGAAATGGTAACACAGCAATCATGTGATTGGCTTGAGTCTTTTGACAATCAGAACTAATCAAAGGTGAAGTCAAAGAAATTATTATTAATTTTTATTTTCTATTTTGTTGTACTGTATTAATTGTATTACAACAGTAATGTGATGCTGGTGACCACTGTCCTCCCTCTCTAAACATTTTCGAGCTGTTTTTATCAATCCTCCAAGGTTTTGTATCTCTCAGGGGACCCATTTTTTATTTCATTCATCTATCTCAATCTCTGCCTTCCTTCCTCCGGTCCTTCAACTTTGCCTATTAACACTCTTGGGGTTATCATACGCTTAAGTGCATACGATACAAATTATCGTTTTAGGGTTTTCATTCGCAAATTTGCATATGAAGTAAAAAAATAAAATAGAATAATTTCATGTTTTTGTATGAACTCTAGATACACAAGTCACATATTTGCTAACGTTGGCGAGATCTGGCAACTTTGTATACTGCACTCCAAGGTTACCACACCAGTGTTTAAAGGACCAAGGATATAACCGTGACCCACATTTTGTTGTGGCTTGTGCTGATTTCTCATGGATCACAGTGATTTTATTTATTCATAACAGTGTTGTGAGAGTTTTGAACCATGCCCCATGTTGCTGGCAAGGGTGGAGGGGTGGGAAAATGTAAAAAGTGCAAGGGCATTATACCATGTGGTGATAGTGTGGTGCCTCCCGATGCCTCTCCCAGTGTCCCTGGTTCTTCTAGCATAAGTGATAGTTTGTCTGGCCTTTCAACACATAGCCCTAGTGCTATGACTCAATGTACAATTATCTTTTGTGCCTGGAGGGAAAAAATTAATAATCTGGGGCCTGGACAGTTCATCAGAATGCAAAATTTACACTGCTATTACCTAGTGAAATATGAATTTTTTTCACATTTTCTTCAATAACTATTTTTTGCTAAATATGTATGCTTTATAAGGGAATAAGTTTCATATTGTAATCACATGAAATAAGAAGTTATAAAGTGATGTAAACATTTTCATTAAGCATAAAGCAAAATTTTGTGATCTACACACACTTGCATATAGAAATAATTATTTTATTGTGATTATTTATCTCCCAACTGTTTGTAGATAATATATTTACAATGCTAATGCAACAAATCCCACCTTTTTATCTCAAATGGCAAGCATACTATGACTCATTATGTACAATTATCTCTCGTGTGGTGCAGTGAGGCGAGTAACAGGCCAGACCCCGGAGAGTGCCTACCTAAACTCAAGAGTGTTAATATTTCTGTTATTATCCTCTCATCCCTTGTTATTTAACCCAATTATCTCGTAATTCTTTTTCTGTACATTTCAAGTATTTCTCTTGAAGTTTTTGCTAACCTTAGTACTTCTTCGTATATTTTTTTTCTGTTAGTGTAATTTATTTTTATCATACACCTATAACACCACTTTTCAAAAGCTTCTAACCTCATTCTGGTGTCTGCTGAAAGTGTCCACTCTTCTGACCTATACAGCTGTCCTGAAAGGTTGTATTATATCCTTTCAGCAACCTTTTTCACAAATTGAAGTTAATGTCCTTTTTCATTAGGTCTTTTTTATTATTAAATGCTGTTTTTGCTGGACCTATTCTGGTAATGATTTCTTTTGCACATCTACCATCACAGCTAATGCTACTTCCCAGATATACACAATTTCCACTTCTTTAAGTTCCCTGATCCTTGTTTTGTTTGTTTTTATCCTCTTCACCACTCATTGGTTCGTTAGCCGCTTGGGCAATCGGTCACGGCTCTGTTACGCACTGTTGGCAAGTACTGGGCATGCACCGGCTCCTGAATGTACTTGAACCTGCTCCAGTGTTGGTCAAGTCTGGTCTTGAAAGAGCTCACACTCGGTGCCGAGACAACACTTTCTGGCAGGTTGTTCCAAAAGTTCACAACTCTCACTTCAAAAAAGTTTGCCCTCACAGTTTTCTGGACCTGTAGCTTCTTCAGCCTTGAGCTGTGACCCCTTGTGGGGCGAGCGCCCGCCAGCTCCAGGTAAGGACACCTGACTGAGTAGTGCCCCTTGAGATGCTTATACACCTCAATTAGGTCGCCCCTTGTCCATCTGTAGTATAAGCTAGGCAAGTTCAGGCGCTTCAATCTCTCAGGGTAGCCGAGATGCCGAAGTGCAGGCACCAGTCTGGTGGACCTCCTTTGAACATTTTCAATCAACTGACAGTCCCTAAAATATCTCGGGGACCAGACTGGGTGACAGTACTCCAGATGGGGAAGTACTTCACTCTTGAAGATCATTACGAGGGACAGACCGTCTAGATATCTGAACAACCTTCTTATAAGCCCTAATAATTTATTTGCCTGATTTACCTTCTTCTCGCAATGGCCCGAGAACTTCAATTCATTGTCAACATACACACCTAGGTCCTTCTCACATTCAATCTCAAATAGTGCAGTTTCCTCATCCCGTTGGGACATATGATACGCCTCCTTGCCATTGGTACGCCCCAGGTGCATCCTCTTACACTTTGTGACATTGAATCTCAGCAGCCATTTCTTCGACCATTCTTGGAGCTCACAGAGATCCTTCTGCAGCTCTTCACAGTCAGCTTGGTTCTTGATTTCCCGAAATAACTTGGCATCATCCGCAAACATTTGCATGGAGGAGTGTACAACATCAGGCATGTCAGTTATGAAGCAAACAAACAACAGCGGGCCCAATACACTGCCCTGTGGTACCCCGCTTGTGACAGGTACAGATGATGATTTCGTGCCATTAACCACCACACACTGCTTGCGGTCATGCAGAAAGTCTTCTATCCACACTCGTACATTTCCCCGAATTCCATACCCTTCCAGTTTGATTTTCAAGGTTTCATGGGGTGCGCTGTCAAAGGCCTTGGCAAAATCTAGGTACCGGTATATATTGTCAATATTATCACCCCGTTCTAGATTATGGGTCCAAATATCCAATATCTTGAGCAATTGTGTTAAGCAGGAGCACCCCGGCATAAAACCGTGTTGGTAATACTTTACAAGGTTGTTTCATAGATGTTCCTTTGCGGCATCTCTTATAATGCTCTCGAGTACAGGGGGTGTAATTTGGATACTATGTTGGTCAGGCTCACCGGTCTATTGTTGTTCGTGGAGTGACAACCGTCCTTCTTGAAGATGAGACTCACATAGCCATTTTCCAGTCTCTGGGGACCTTTTGTTCATCCAGGCATTTACAGAACAGGATCTTCAGCTTTGACAGTTTATTTCTAATACCCTCTTCTGTGAACACAATGTGGGTCAGTACTGTGACGAACCGTCTGTCCTCAAACGCAGGAAGGTTAATTGCATCCTCTCGTGAAAACCAAGGAAAAGAAGCTGTTCAATGCCTCAACTTTATCCTGGTCAGAATCTGCGTAACTATCATCCTACTCGCATTTTTAATTTCGACTTTGCATAGCAGTAAAACGCCTTTAGGTTTGCCTTGACCTCGCTTCCAACCAGCCCCTGGAACTCCTTTTCAGCCCTTCTACACTCTGCGTTTGCTTGGTTTCTGGCTCTTGCGTACATTCTCCTGTCCTGCTCATCGTTTGACCCAACCCACGTCTTGAATTTCTGGGTTTTCTCAACTCTGTCGATCGCCCCATGGTTCATGTGTAGGGGTCCCCTCCTCTTCCTAGAGGCACTGGGTTTGGTCTTGGGTATATATTTATTGATCAAATGGGTCACTTTACTAGTTATGATATTCAGCATAGTGTCTGCATTCTTGTGCCTTAGTGAGTCAGGCCAGGGGATGCCTCTCATCTCTTCCCTCATCCCGTCGTAATTTCCCTTGTAATATTTGCACCTTGGCCTGGCTTTATCATGAACGATGTAACAGTTAAATCGGAATGACAACACGACATGGTGACTGGTGCCAACTGGGGCTAGGTGTTCCAGTTTGGCCACCATACCCCTCTTCATTTGTTATGATGAGGTCCAGTGGCTTAGGTGTTTGCTCCCCTCTGTAATGGTTTAACATGTTGGAACAAAAAATTATCTCTCAGAGTTTCTACAAAAAGAGCAGCAGGGTTATTCAAGTCATTTGGGGCCTATCATAATTTTTATTTCTTTCCAATTTGGAAACAACAATTACTTTAGTCTTTACAGCATTAACTCTTAAAGCATATTTTTCACCTTTTCCACTAATCTGTTAACGAGTTTTTGTAATGCCTCTTCACTATCTGTGATAAGAGCAGTATCATCTGCATAGCATATACAGTATTTGATATTACATTACCTTTAACTTTTAATCCTTCATTATCACTTATAGCTCATCTCATTAAGAATTCTGTCTGTCCATTACTGTATACAATGTTGAAGATAGAACATAGCCCTGTCTTAATCCCTGTCTAACTATGAACCAATTACTGTATTAAGTTCATTACTGTATTTACTAGCTAGCAATGATTCTTTAAAATTCTAATATCTCCTTCATTAATGGTATAAGCTTTTTCAAAATGAACAAAACATTTATACAAGTTTGGGGGGGAAATCTAAAGCCCATTTCACTTAAAATTCTCAAACTAAATATAGCTCCTATAGTTCCTTTTCCCTTTCTAAATCCATTTTGATCTTCAGGTAACTCATTGTATACATTTTTTTCTGTATATTTTGTTTATAAAATGATACATAGATGTGTCAGCATTAGAATTTTTGTCTTATGTATTCAAGCAGTAGAAGTGTTTAAACATTTGACATAATTTTGTTATTCATCAGGTTTGTGAAGAAGACATTGTTAGAGCCTTGTCAGACACCCCATGCCAGAGTGAAGTTATGAGTGTTGAAACTAGTGATGATCACCCACTAAGGGTCCTGTCAGAAGAAAATCTCACATGTGCTTCTACATTTACTGGTAAGTTCTTTTAAACTGCAGATGTTGTGTATGACTTTTTTACCTCAGTTGTCTTATGAGTAATTTATATTTATTTTTATAAATTAAAAATATATACAGTAACAGTTTCACAAATTATGACTCCATGTCAAGGAAAAGGAAGTTAGCGTAAAATATTACTGAACTTCACTTTTGCATAACTTCTAAACGGAGTCCAACAGAAACCATATTTTACGCCTTATAAGATCAACTTTTTTTCTTTCTTACATGTCAATGGTTAATCTTAGAGGGATGCGGATGCCAAAACTGTACTGGACTAAAACCAAGGCTCCCTCATTTGACACACTGGTTTCCAGATGACCCCAGAATGAAATAGATATGATCTTAGTTTATTAAACAAAGAAAACAACTGAAATAATTTCAAAATTAACAACATATTGTAAGTTAATATGGGAACCTTGCCAACTATGGGATAGGTTAACATTCATTATCAGGCCTGAGCCAACAGCCACCTACAGTAAGTGTTTATACAATGCAGTACAGTAAACCCTTCCTATTCGCAGGGGTTAGGTTCCAAGGACTGGCGCGAATTGGCAAAACCACAAATAGCAACTTACACGACCTTAGTGCACAACTGTAAATCTATAATGTGTATGAGAAACTTAGTCACCAATACTACTCACCTTCGTATGTGAAAGTTTGGAGCTTGATGAAGTGTACTGTACAGTAAGATGAAATCTGGTTACTGAAGCATAGGGATATCATCAGGATCACTGTTGGAAGAGGGTGATGGAGTGGTGGGTGGTGGAGCGGTGGCAGCAGCTGACCGAGTAGGTGAGGGAGAAGAATGAGCTGGACGTGCGGCTGGTTCTTTCTTGAAAAATATCATGATTGGTAGTTTCCTCTTGACTTTGGTGTCTTTAAACATTTCCTGGTAGGGAACCAATGTCTGGTTGATTTTTTGGACGATCTTAAGGCTCTGTTCCATGGAAGGGTCGTAGTTAACAATGAAATCAGTTACCACCTTCACATGTTGAAATAGTTCACCAAAATTGTTCAAACCCCAACCTTCTTGTTGCAATTTCATTATTTCTTCCACTTCATCTTCTTCAGCACTTTTTACCAACTCTTCCAAATCCTCTTCTGTCAGTTCCTCTCCATGCCCATCAATCAGTTCTTCCACGTTTTCAGCAGCCATGTCCACAAATCCCTCGCCACCCAATTGACGTGCAACACTCACAATGTTATTCACATCCTTTACAATGGACGGAAATCCTTGGACGTAATTCACAAACGCAAGCCATAAGTTTCCCCAACAAACATTTACTGTCTCTGGTTTAAGTCCACTGAATGATTCACTGATGTTGGTAATACTTTTACTTTTATCCTCTTCACCACTGATCGGCTCGTTAGCCGATTGGGCGATCGGTCACGTCTCTGATTACTTTAACTTTTCTTTTATCCTCTTCACCAAAAGATCGGCTCATTAGCTGCTTGGGCGATCGGTCACATCTGTTACACACTGTTGGCAAGTACTGGGCATGCACCGGCTCCTAAATGTACCTGAACCTGCTCCAGTGTTGGTCAAGTCTTGTCTTGAAAGAGCTCACACTTGATGCCGTTACAACACTTTCTGGTAGATTGTTCCAAGAGTTCACAACTCTCATTCCGAAAAAATTTGGTACCACAGTTTTCTGGACTTGCTGCTTCTTCAATCTTGAGCTGTGACCCCTTGTGGGGCGAGCGTCCGCCAGCTCCAAGTAAGGGCACTCGACTGAGTAGTGCCCCTTGAGATGCTTATACACCTCAATTAGGTCACCCCTTGCCTATCTGTAGTATAAGCTAGGCAAGTTCAGGCGCTCAAATCTCTCAGGGTAGCTGAGGTGCCGAAGTGCAGGCACCAATCTGGTGGCCCTCCTTTGAACATTTTCAACCAACTGACAGTCCCTAGCATATCTCGGGGACCAGACGGGGTGACAGTACTCCAGATGGGGAAGCAGTCTGCAATGTTGTACTCCTTCCAACACTTGCTAACATCAAGGTCAGGATCTGTGTCCATGGCACTACGGATACAACCAAAAGAGCGGCAGGTGTAATATGCCTTGAAGGTGCATATTACACCCTGATTGAGAGGCTGAATAAGAGCAGTGGTGTTAAGGGGTAGGAACACCACCTCAATGGTTAAACTGCAAACTTTCTGGGTGGCCTGGTGCATTATCTATCAATAATAACACCTTGAATTCCATCTTCTTGGAAGCAAGGTATTTTTCCACTTCTGGGACGAAGCATGTATGGAACCAATCCAGGAATACTTGCACAGTTACCCATGTCTTTTTGTTAGACTACCAAAACACTGGCAAAAAGGTTCTTGTTTTTACCTTTTAAAGCCCTAGGGTTTGCTGAGCAGTAAAGCAAGCCAGGCTTGATCATGTGGTCAGCCACAATGCCACAGAATATGAGCGTCACTCTGTCCTTGGCTGCCTTGAACCCAGAGGCATGCCTTTCCTGCTTGTTTATGTAGGTTCTACCAGGCAATTTTTTTTCCAATATAGACCAGATTCATCAGCATTAAAAATTTTCTCTGGTCTACAGCCTTTCTCTCCTATTATTTTCCTTAATTTTGCAGGAAATGCACCTGCGACTGTGTGGTCAGCTTCAAATTATGGAGAGAAAATCTTCTCTTAAAATTCTCAAACCAACCTTTACTGGCACTAAAAGTTGGTTCCGTAGCCACACTAGCCCCATCACCACCCGTTGACTCGTAAAAATGAGCATAAAGACTCTTGGCCTTCTCATGAATCATATTGGTGTCGATCGGAACATTTTTGCAGTGCTGATCCTCAACCCAAATGTTCAATGCTCTTTCTGTTTTCACAGTGTTCTTGTCACAAAAAATATGTGCCACTTTAGCACTTGCAGCAGCACTCGCTTTAACAGAATCGCGAATTGTTCGTTCATTCTTCATTATATACCGCACTGTGGATTCGTTCACGCTAAACAACCGACCAACCACAGCAGCACTCGTCCCCTCCTTTAACTTATCTAATAATTCAACTTTCTTTGTCAGGGTCATCACTGACTTGTCTTTTACGTCCACTCCACTAACACTGACACTAGGCAGTCTTTTAGGGGCCATTTCACACAGAAACACTAAAGTTTTGAGTACATCACAAGATGCTGTGTCACAAGCAATGGTTGAGCGCGATTAAAGGGAGAGGAGACGCTGCGTGGGGTGACTTGTTGTGCTGCGGGAGAGGCTCGCGAGCTAGCCACCATCTGCTTACCACAAACTGTCAAAATTGTGAATCACAAGGATTTACTGTACAGTTTATGTGTACTGTGTGTGTGTTCAACTATTAAATATGGAAGGGTCGCTTCCGGCTTACGGATAGCCTGCAGGAACGGAATCCATCCATAACCCGAGGAGTGTTTGTATTTATTGTCCCTTAATGGGAAAAAATAAGAATAAATTTGATAAAATTGATTTAGAAAGAATTCAAGTTCAAAATTTTGATGCTGTAGCTGTAGTGAGAGTTAGAGAGTGGAAGCACAGCTGTGTCCTTTTATTGATAAATGTGTTCTAAATAAGGTAGAAACAATTATTTTACCAAAATAAAATAAATTAATAAACTTAGATTTTTTATTAACTACTGTGCTGTACAGCAGATCCCTGATATAGTGCGAGTTGATCCTGTGGTTTCCATTTATAATGTGACACCCTAGCTTACTCCATTTTGTTATTATTGTGTTGTGTAAGCCCAGAAAAATTCAACTTCAGTAAATGGACCACAGTATTCACCACTTGACGACAAGTGTATTGTACATGGTATTTTGTGTATGAAAACCTTATAGGGTACAAAACCTTCATATGCATATTTGCCAGTAACTTATTAATTCAAATTGAAAAGTTAACAAGTTAATCATTTTTTTTGGGGGGGGGGTGGGGGGGGGCTTTGTTGAATTACTTTAACGAACCATCATTATACTTAACTAATCTTGGTACAGTACTAATAAACCAATACATTATTTAATTAAGTTTAATTACTGTAAATTAATTGCCAATAAAAATGACAGAATTCTTCTGTATAGGGATTATCTTATTCTTTAAACTTTTATTATCTTGAAGTTGTGAGGATTTAACCACTGTCTTAGTGAGTGTTGGGCGGAGTAGAGACAAGTATAACTGTGTCCTTTTTTCCTGTCTCCTAATTTGTGAGATTTTAGAATCAAGATATCTTACTTTTATCCTCTTCACCACTCATCGGCTCATTACCCGCTTGGGTGGTCGGTCACGTCTCTGTTATGCACCGTTGACAAGTACTGGGCATGCACTGGCTTCTGAATGTATCTCAACTTGCTCCAGTTTTGGTCAAGTCTGCTCTTGAAACAGCTCACACTCGGTGCTGTCACAATACTCTGGCAGATTGTTCCAAGAGTTCACAACTCCCACTCTGACAAAGTTTACCCTTGCAATTTTTTGGACTAATGGCTTCTTCAACCTTAAGCTGTGACCCCTTGTGGGGCTGGTGTCCGCCAGCTCCAGGTATGGACACTCGTCTGAGTAGTGCCTTTTGAGATGTTTAAATACCTCAATTAGGTCACGCCTTGCCCGTCTGTAGTATAAGCTAGGCACTTGCAGGCTCTCTAATCTCTCTGGATAGCCGATGTGCCGAGGTGTAAGTACTAGTCTGGTGGTCCACCTTTGGACATTTTCAATCAACTGACAGTTCGTAGCTTATCTCGGGGACCAGACGAGATGACAGTACTATACAGTACTCCGGGCAGGGAAGCACCTTAAGCTTGAATAATATTACAAGGGACTGACCGTCTAGATATCTGAACGACCTTCTTATAAGAACGTAATAGTATAGTTGTTTGATTCACCTTCTCATAATGGCTCAAGAACTTCAGTTCATTGTCAACGTACAGTACACACACTCGGGTCCTTTTCGCATTCGGTCTCCATTAATGCAGTTTCTTTGTCACATTGAATCTTGGCAGCCATTTCTTCGATCACTCATGAAACTCATCGAGTTCTTTCTGCAGCTCTGCAGTCAGTTTGATAATTAATTTCCCTAAATAACTTGGCATCATCCACAAACATTTGTATGGAGGAGTGTATAGCTTCTGGCATGTCATTTATTAAACAAACAAACAACAATGGGCCCAATACATTGCCCTGTGGTGCCCTACATGTCATGGGTACACATGATGATTTTGTGCCATTAATCTCCACACACACTGCTTGCTATCATGCAGAAAGTCTCCAATCCACGCTAGGACACTTCCCCCAAATCCCATACCCTTCCAGTTTAATTCTCTGCCTTTTATGGGGTATGCTGTCAAAATCTGGGTATATATTGTCAATATTACCACCGTCCCAAAATTTGGGTCCAAACATTCAGTACTGTATCTTGAGTAATTGTGTTAAGCAGGAGCGCCCTGGCATAAAACCATGTTGGCAATCCTTTGCAAGGTTGTTTCGTAGTAAATGTTCCATCATGGCATCTCTTATAATGGTCTCAAGTACTTTACACACTATGCTGGTCCAGCTCATTGTTCATGGAGTAACGAAAGTCTTTCTTGAATATATGACTTACATAAGCCATTTTCCAATCACTTATTTAGAGAAAAGGATCTTCAGGGGCTCGGCAACCTCGTTGCACAACTTTCTTAGCACTGGGATGCACCATGTCAGGGCTGGAACTCTTATGAACCTTTAGCTTTGACAGTTTATTCCTTATAACCTCTTCTGAGAACACAATGTGGGTCAGTGCTGTCTCGAACCGTCTGTTCTCAAACACAGGAAGATTGTTCGCCTCCTCTTGTAAACACCGAGGAAAAGAAACTGTTCAATGCCTCTGCCGTGTCCTGGTCAAAATATGCAGAACTAACCATCTTCAAGCCTCAGGTCCGATACTCTTACTCGATTTCTTAATTTCTACTTTGCATAGCGGTAAAGTGCCTTTGGGTTCGACTTGACCTCGCTCACAGTCTGCCTCAGAAACTCTTTTTCAGCTCTTCTACACTCTGACTTTGCTTGGTTCCTGGCTCTTGCATACATCCTCCTGTCCTGTTCATCTTTGACCTAGCCCACGTCTCAAGTTTCTGAGTTTTCTTCTTAACTTTGTTGACCGCCGCATGGTTCAAGTGTAGTGGTCTCCTTGTATTCCTGGAGGCACTGGGTTTGGTCTTTGGTATATATTTCTCAATCAGATGGTTCACTCTACTGGCTATGACATTCAGCGTAGTCTGCGTTCTTATATCTTAGTGAGTCAGGCCAGTGGATACCCCTCATCTCCTTCATCCCGTTGTAATTAACATTGTAATATTTGCACCTTCGCTTGGTTTTGTCATGAACCAAGTTACAGTTAAATCCGAAGGACAATGTTACATGGCGACTGGTGCCAACAGGGGCTAGGTGTTCCAGTTTGGCCACCATACCCTCCTCATAGTTATGATGAGGTGCAGCAGCTTGGGTGTTTGCTCACCCCTGTAATGAGTGGGAACTTTAACATGTTGGAATAGAAAATTTTCTATTAAGAGTTTCTACAAAAAGAGTAGAGGGATTATTAAGGTCATTTGGCGTGGTTACATTTCTCTAGTCAATGTTGCCATAGTTAAAGTCCCCCATGACAAGGAGGTGGGTATGGTTGAGCACAGTTGCATTACTATTTAAGACTCTTAAGTTCCTTTGGTTTAATAAGTTACAGTTTGGGGATCTATAGATACATTCTGCTAATATACTAAATACATATAACCAGCTTATGGCATTTGTTCCATTGTGGGATAAAAGGGGGGGGGGGGGAATGTTGATCCAGAGTTACAGTTTAACTTTTAATGCTGTAACCCCAGTAAGAGTGATTGTTGGAAGGAGTAGAAAACTAATACTACTGTATCAAAAAACATTAATTTTGATGGGAAAAATTGCCCTGACATTCACGAATTCATTATTTGCAATGACTTCCAGGAACGCATCCTTTGCAATAACCAGGGTACAGTACTGTTTTCCTGTAATAAAGAAAACTAGTCACTAAGAGAAGAGCGTAGTACCTCTCAATGTTGGCCTCTTACACTTGATAAAATACTGTACCTCTAATAAGTTATTGTGTACTGTATTTTGAATTTCATTTTGTACGTACTGTATAACTATTGCACTACATGTTGATAACAATTACGACTGTATATCAACTCCTCCCACTCTTGTCCATAGTGCAAAATCATTTGTATTTCAATAATGAATGTTCAAAATGGCCTGATGAAGCATTTTTTATGTTCATGGTGTTTTGAGGAATATAACCAAGAAGGTTAACCACAGACAAAAATTATAATGTGGTCCTGTTATCCTTTTATTAATATTGATAGATTTCCTGGAGAAATACTACATCAGTTCTCCTACATTTCAGATTCGTACTCCCAGATGGGTGAGACAGGTGATGAAGACGACTCTGATGACGATGACTCGCGACCATTTAGTCTGTTTGAGGTTACTGATTATGGTCGAGTGTGTCAGGACCTCAGCTTAGCACTTCAGTCAGATGTAGCCAATAGGAATCTTCACGAACTAGCCAAGATTCACGATTTGTATAGAACACTCGCCCGTCAAAGTCCAAGAGTTCACACAGGAGGCTCACGACTTCAAGCTGCTACACTGGCAGAAATTCTAACCAACAGTCATGACTCATTACTAGAGGATCAGAAACCTCCACTCGAAGACGACAGCATATGTAGTGAACCTGCACATGCCGACGAGAAACTGTGTCGCCATTGTAACAAGAAACAGCTTCGTCACGGTGATAGTATTCTTAAATTAGAGTCTGCTTTCAGAAGCAAATCACAGTGGCTGAGTCGACATTTGGAAACATTGGAGGATTCTGCTAGTGATAAGTGCATTGGAACTGACGACCTAGATTTTCCTGACGAACACTGCACTTGTGATGTACAAAGTGATCTTGTACCATACATCCCATCAATGTTTTTCAATTTTTCTTCCGTGCATAACCCCGATGACGCGTCAGATTCTAATCTGACACGTCAAGCTTCAGAAGCTAGTCTGCATTTAAAGGATGCACCATTAGCAGATTCAACAGAAAAGCTGACTGACAGAGTCCCCATAAATGGAGTGTCGTTACCCGAGTTTATAGAGGACGTTGAAGCTAATGTCGTACTTTGCAACCCAGTGCAATATGATTATAGCAAAGATGAAGATGTAATAGATATTAATGATGAGCGAACAGTGACTGGGAAGAGTGATAATGAGAGTGACTGTGTTAGTAATATAAGTGAAGACTCAGAGTATATGATGCAAACTTCTAAACTTTCCAAATTCCTTTGTGTAGGTGTTGGTAGAAGTAAATCGAAAACTCCTTACAAAGTAGCAAAGCAAAATAATAATAAGATAGTAGAAAATAAGAAAAATATGGCAAAAATAAAAGAATCTAAAGTTAAAAACCCAGCCAAAGGTAGAGAAAATTCTAAATCTCCTGATCGCAATTCAAAAAACTTGATAAAGTCTCCCTCCCGAGTGGTCTCACAAAGTGCAGCGAAACAAAGTGTTAGCAGACGAGGTGACAATGCATCCGTGCGCACACGCTGGGGTAAATCTGCCCGTGTTGGAGCAGCCAAACCCCCAGCTGTGGGCACCAGGGGTAACTATCGGTATACGTGCACCCTGATGTATCCCCCCGATGCTCCTACACCCACCGAAGGATATGACTCTGGTCACGATTCCGGTGCAGCTACCCAGGGTAGTGCTACTCCTTTGGAAAATAATGAAGCTTGGAGAACTACCCAAAATCTCCAGCCACACCAGCATCATCATCATCATCAGCACCACCACCCAGCAGCAAACAGTGGATCTCTTGGCACTAACCCTTCCTTGGGCGAGTCTTCTGGATACGAGAGTATCCCAAGAGACTCGGAGTGCTCCTCATTCAGCTCTTCTCAAGACTCAGAGATGGATGATGAACACCGTAGGGATGCCCAGGCACATTCTCAAGCTTTTTTGCATCCTCAGACTCCTCCAAAACCACAAGTTGTAAATGCTTCATCTAAAGTGCAGGTTGAAGAATGGTCTGAGGAGGATGTAAAAAGGTACGAAGGCCGACCTTCTGCTGCTGAAATTCCTCAGATGAGGGCATCTCGTCAGCAGATTCTTTCTCTGAAATCGGCTCAGAGGTCATTAAAAGTTGACTTAGCACAAGCTAAGGGAAACCTTAATGTTCCTTCTGATTCCTGGAGCTACGAACGTAAGTCAAACGTACGTATGCAACTGCACTCATTTTGTTTTTTTTGTAGATTTAAGTTTTCATTCTTTTTTTAGTTTAATTTAAGCTACCTTTTTCTGAAGAGTAGATTGTGCTAATAAATTAGTACGTACCTAAAACTTGAAGTAGAATAAGCACTTGAGTAATAGTACATAAATATTTTCTAGTAGAGGAACTTGCAGTAGATTTATCACCAGTGTCTGCCTAATGCACCCGAGCCGAGCATTACAGTTTTGTTTGTACGGTATCTACAATTTATACAGTCTGGCAAGGCTTGGAATTCATGTTTTCTTTATACAGTAATTTTCTTGAGGGATATTATTTCCCTCTGTTGAAGAATGGTTTATAAACATGAACTTTTATTACTGTTAATGTTTAGCTTATTAGCTTGTGCAGTAGTAATTAAGAATTAATGTATGTAGTTTGTATTTGTATATTTATTTGGTACAGTGACCCCTCGTTTAGCGAACACCTCGGTTAACGTAATTTCGATTAACGAACTGCCTTCCATAAGGATCTTCAATTCGGTTAACGAAAAAAAATTCGCTTGACGAACTTCTTACGAACCGACCTCAACGTGTTTTCGCTTGCACTGACCGGGCAACCAGCTTTAGTATCAGTCCGCCAATACATTAATCGGTTCTAGGGCTTAAATTCCTTACTATTTTTGTAAATATCAAGAAGTTTATACTATTCAATAATTTTAAAAGTTTAATATTCAATTTTTTAGTCAGTTTAACAATTATTGAACAAAATTGAAGGTAAAGTGACTAGTTTAATGCGCGGCATCCAGCCTCTTAACACAGCAAACAGGCGTCAGTCTCTCTCTGTTTTCACTGGAGGTAACATCTTGCTTGAGACTCTCTTCAACTAAACGCTTTTTTTCTGTGTTTCCAAGCAAATTATTGGTCATTTTGAAATATATTTTATATATTGACAATATATAATGCAGTGCAGCGTTGATTTAAAGAAAATAATCTTGAATTAAACCAGAGAGCTAAAATTTTATGGGTGAAATGGCACCATGGGGTGACTTCTCTTCCACCCCAATGCCTTCTCTTCTTCCTTCTCCTCCACCCCCATTCTAAATCCCATCATCATCATCATCATCCAGGAGCCTTCTACATACACACCTCAAAGTAAGTGAACTTTTCTACCATTTTTGTTGAATTTAGGAAATTTTCGGTGAGCTGGAACCAATTACCCAAAAACCCATTGAAACAATGGTTTCGGTTAACGAACGTTTCGGTTAACGAACGACCTTCTGGAACGGATTGAGTTCGTTAACCGAGGGGCCACTGTATTTGCAGTAGCAAATATAATTTTTATTATTATTTATTTTATTTTATTTTTATTATTAATTTACAGTATTTTTATTTTTATTTTTTATTTTATTTATTTATTTATTTTTTTAGAAAGAGTGTACCAGTATTTGGTAGGGAAGTAAGGAATTGATGCTTGTCTTAAAAGTAGAAAAGTTTATAATTCTCCTTACAGTAGAATAGCACAAACAGTTAATTACTTCCACAATGCCTACAGATACTTTTCAATCAACACTCTTACACGCAACGCTTGTTCTCCTTACAGTACACGTAAAGGAGGATTCGCCACTGGATCATCGCACTTTTGTGGAAGCACTCGCGAGGGAGACGGTCATCTTGCAAAAGCGCGTAGCAGCCGCCCGGAGTCGTGTCCTTATTGTTACAGCTTTCCTGCCTAAAGAACGACTTGAAACTCTTATTAACTGACATTGGGGGCTGTTTAAGCGCATTGTTCTCCATCTTTTTATTTTATTTTATTTTTTACTGTTCATCAATTCACAAGGTCAGAATTATTATGTTAGGTAACAGCAAATATATATATATATATATACAGTACATATAATTATGAAACTATTGACTTCATTCCCTTGACATTCATGTACACATGCATCTTGATATTAAAATATTTGGCAAGTTGAAATTATCATATGTTTGCCCAACTCAGGTCGTGTATGTACATCAAGACGTAAGGCTTAGTATGTGTAGTAATGAAGAATATAGAAATTTATCACAAGAGTAAGGTGGGAAAAATTTAATTCTTATCCTATCTTCTGTTATGGTTTTTGTAATTAATTTTGAAAACAAAATTTAAGATTCTGAAGAATTTGTGTTCTTTATCAGCCAAGTTAAATTTATTGATGTTATATCATTATTTTTTGTCTGACATTGGTCACTTAATTTATTTGGATTATTTCCAACATTAGATTATTTAAATTTCTTGCCCAACACCACTAATTCAATTTATGGTTGAACATTTAATGTTTGACATCAGCAAATTTAAGTTTATTGTTCGATATAAGCTAATTTAAACTGCCAGAAATATGTTGGGGAGACAACTTAGCAAAGAAAATAGTTTTTAATTTATTTGTATTCTTGGTACCAACAACAGTCCCAGTTGATGTACTTGTGGCAATAGAAAGAAAAATGATGCTATAGGGTAAACAATTTAAAATTGTTCATTGATCAGTATTCTCAAAGCAAAATGGTATGCCATGTTAGTGAAAAGGAAATGCTTTAAGCACTGATTGGTCCATAATAAAATAGTCTTATTATGCAAGAATTGTTGTAGATGTTTGAAAATAATTTTGTTCCATTTTTCTCTCTTTTTTGTGATCAAGGTTCAATTTTGTATATTGTTTAGTCTAAGTCAATAGATTAGCTTTTTGGTGAATGTGATTCTTATTGTATATTTGTGAGCAACTGTTTCTTGCATACAGGTGATTATGCAGGATTATCTCAGTTGGATAATGTGTGATTTACTTAAATCAAATGCACAGAATACACATTAATATATATTGAATGTACATTGGTAGATAGTGACATACATAGTGAGGTTTGTCCACAAGCAGAAATTACACAGAGAGGTATGTATGAACTGATATCTCTTTTCTATATTTATAAAGTGGTCTTTTGCCAACATAGTCATGTATTGTGTAAAATAAATGATTGTTTAGTTAAATATCTTTTGATTTAACATCACAGTAGTAGGTGTAAGGAAAAATAACTAAGGACGGCCAAAGACATCTAGGCGCAGTAATTGGCACTACGGAGTTCAAGACCGAGTACGTAGCGGGAAAGGCGAACGAGTGGGTTAGCGAAATCCAAGCTCTATCTGAGATTGCTAACACAGAGCCACATGCGGCCTTTGCAGCATTCACCCACGGAGTCAAGCATCGCTGGAACTACCTGATGCGTACCATCCCTGAGATCGGACCCCTCCTCCACCCTCTGGAAGAAGCCATCAGTGTCAAGTTCATTCCCAAACTAGTGAAACACCCTGACTTAACCCCAGCAGAAAGAACACTTCTTGCACTTCCACCAAGATTGGGAATGCAATATGGGAAGTGGACACCAGCGAAGTAAATAAGATCCGTAGGTCCATTACAACAGATCGGCAGCACTGCCAAAATGACATGTTGCAGCAACTATTGCTGCAGGTTCCAGAAAATTTGACAAAAAAAGTAGCTATAGCGCAGGAGGTGGGGGCCTCGAACCGGTTAACTACGTTACCGATAAGGGCAAATGGTTTCAGCCTTAACAAACAAGAATTTACAGATGCCATTGCTCTAAGGAAATCTGCCGGACGTCACGGTAGAACCGACCCTCCTTCCACTGGATGGCGAGATCTTCCAACACAGGACTTCAAACACATCTAACGAAGCCCGTGTGGACGTCAGTGCTCGAGGATTCTGGACGCGGGGACAGCGAGCTTTCTTCGACATCAGGATTTTTGATCCCATGGCCGCTTGTCACCGTAACCTAGCTCTCGATGCTGCACATAGGAGGAACGAGAACGACAAGAGACGGGCATATGGGGAGAGAATTCAAAATGTTGATCAAGGCAGCTTCACTCCTCTAGTGTTCACAACCTCTGGTGGGATGGGCCCAAGTGCAAGATGTTTCTACGCCAGACTCGCGGAGTTGATCTCCGAACAGAAGCAGCAGCCCAGAAGTTATGTTACAGCCTGGATGAGATGTCGACTGTCCTTCTCTCTCCTTCGGTCGGCTTTGCTCTGCCTCAGGGGAACGAGAGCTTCTGCCCCTACGCCGACAACTGCTGCAGATATTGACTATGAGGCTACAGTCACTGAATGCCGCATAGATCTGCGGCTCAACTAATCTAACACAGTTAGGATAGCTTCTTATGTATTAGGATATTTAATATTAAGGTAAATAAATGGCGGCGAAGGTGTGGCTATTGGGGGAGGCTGGAGGCCACGAAAAAAAAAAAAAAAAAAAAAAAAAGGTTGAAAATTACTAACTTGAATATGATGAAAGGAAGTGAAAGTACCACTTATTAGTACAAGAGCAGACACAGTAAACAGTTTTTTGTAAAATTCATTTCATCATAGTTCAGTAATGCTGCACTGTAAAAACATACTGTTGATTGCAGTGGTGGGCACGGTTCCGCTAACCGCTAATTAGCGAAGCTAACTTTCTCGTTAGCGGATTAGCGTTTTCGCTAACTTTGGAAACCATTAGCGGACCAATTAGCTTCCGCTAAATTTAGTTCCGCTAACAAAATTTATACATGTTTGTTCCTGTCTGTTGTAAGCGTGTGACGCCGCGACGCGTGTCTCCAACAGCCAGTCAGGCACGCTTGGCTGACTAAGACCAACAATAAGTTATATAAAAATGCACTGGTATAATGTATATGTGGATGGTATTGCATATTTACATGAATAATGAATAAGGCCGATAGGTTGTATGAGAATGCAAATTAATTATTTGTGAAATTGTGTACAGTGTACACCTTGGTAAGTTGAGCAATATCTGATCTTGGGATGATGCTATTTGCTACTTATGCTATACTGTACAGTACTATAGTTTTTGGATTCGTTTAATACTTTGTCTTTTCGTACAGTAAATATAGATTATAAAGTATATGTTCAAATTTGAATGTAAAGTAATGTTTAATTTCATTTGTTCATTTAATTATTTGTATACACCTTGATCATCATCTGGTCTTGGCATGCTATACCTTTTTGGAAAGCTCTATGTCTAAGCTCGTGAGGGCAAACTTTTTCGAGTGAGGGTTATAAATCTTGGAACAATCTACCAGTGTGTGTTGTGACGGCACCGAGTGTGAGCTCTTTCAAGAGAAGACTTGACCAACACTGGAGCGGGTTCAGGTACATTCAGGAGCCGGTGCATGCCCAGTATTTGCCAACAGTGCGTGACAGAGACGATGGATGGCTAGCGGAGCCGAATCTTTGGTGAATATAATGGAAAAGAGACGTGACTGATCGCCCAAGCGCCAACAAGCGATCAGTGGCGAAGAGGATAAAAGTAAAAGTAAGACAACATATGAAAATTTCAGCTCTAGGTCTGTTTTAAGGGTTTTAGAGCCTTCAGCTAAATCCATATAATAAAAGTTTGCGGTTAGCATTAGCTTCCGCTAATTTTTTTTAGTGAAGTTAACGTTTTAGTTAGCAGGTTAGCGAAGCTAACTTTTCGTTTAGCCGTGCCCACCACTGGGTGATTGTAATGTGGTGGTGGTGGGGGGGTGGGGTTGGGGGGGGTCAGTGTATAACCAAATAAGCTTATTGGCGTGACAATAAATGGGAGATTGTTTATGTAATGACATTCGTGTGTGCGTGTGGTTCGTTCGTGCCGCTCTCGTCCCATAGCTTCCTGTCTATGTATATCCTAATTATAACATGAATTTGTATGTACTACAAATCTCACCTGTAAGTAATCTCCCTCGAGTACTTCATACATGGCTTGACAAGTTGCAGGTATTATGCGAGACAAACTTTGTTTCAATATCCTCTTGACGTGTAGGTGCACCCAGTTGAAAGATATACGAGCGTTGCCTCTACAGATATACTCTCCCTCATATTGGTATCCTGGATTTGTTTTTTATATGGTTCTACTTTCGCTAAGAGTTTGTAAAGGGTGTTGGAGTCGATTCTCATATAATTGGTGATCTCCCGCTCATGTCCATCTTGCAGTTCACGTAAAATCGTGGGATGACTTGCCAATACCTTTTTTCGACCTAACCTTTTCTGCATTTGGTTCTTTTTGCACATAGCAGCAATTATTATAGTACACAATATGATGTTCGCTTTTAACTGTCCAGCGATTGTACCGGGTGCACTCTAAGATGGAAAGAAAACGGAGGACTCAGACGTCCTGAAAAATGGGACGCCCGACTCGTTAAGAAGGCATAGCTACACGTTAACCCACAAACCAGACTCCGCTTTTATGCTCCTTCTGTACTTCCCACTTAACTATTCCTTGCCCCAAGTATCCTCGTTCACGGCTCTTATCGCTGTGTTCTGAGCGTAACTAACATGCACGACCGTGGTCATTACCCAATTTGGTTTTTTTTAATGCAATTTTTCCTTAATTTCAAAGCCTTTCCCATGTTAAACAAGTAAAATGCAGTTTTTAGATTAAAATATTCTTATAATATACTTTGTGGCGGAAATGCAATAGAAGAAAAACGTTTTGGAATTGGCCAAACTCCCAAATCTTAAATTCACGACATGACCAGACCTCTAATTTGGGCTGGACATTGAAAAACTTCGGGTCAATATTTAGTATTGCAGTGGTCTATTATGTCAAAGATGGAAGTTCTTATATTTATAAGTTAGATTTTCAAATGTCTTATTTGGAATTGAGTATTTTACCAAGATCAGTTTAAACCAGTGAAAATCGAACTACAGTACAGGGTATGCGTTTTTTTGCCCATTCTGGATATGAGAATGGGCATTTTAAACTAATGGAAACTATAAACCAGCACATGAATTTCATCATTGGTCCATTGGGTTATGTTGCGAAAATGTAAACATATTTAAAGATGAATAGAGCGGTATTTGCCAAGATGTGAAAGCTTTTAATATCATAAAATACAGTGCGTATTTCAGGACAAACAGCAGACGTACTTCAGATTTTAGTATACTCAAGATTTTGATTCAGTAAAATCAAGGAATTAGATTATTCCATAACATAAATGGAGTAATTTTATTGGTTACTACATACATTGTATATTCAATATGTACTCAACCCGTACACATTTGAGTTTAGTTGCACAGAATATAATATAACATCACTTTACGAGGATTACACCTGGACACAAATTACGATCCACAAATGGAGTCCAGGGGGAGGGTATGAATGGTTGAAGAAATAACGAAGATGCTGGAAACCAGCTTTTTGAAGACACAAATTGCTTGTAGTTTAACACTTACTAGGGAGCAAGAATCTCCTTACTCAAGTTGTGGAAAGAATCCACCTCCCACTAACCCGGTAGAGCTCGAATAGGCAAGTAATTCTTCCGATGGCGTTCTCCAGCAACATTTAAAACCCCCACGAAAACTTTTGTAGAATCTCCCAATCGTTCTGATGGGGTACACAGGTCACACTGCAGCTTCCTCGGTCAACTCGTATAGGTCTTACGTTCGTCTAACGAGCGTGTTCTAGAGATCAACTAAAAAGCAAGAAAATTAATGTAGTTTCATCCTGGTGGAATGGTCTAACCTAAAACTTAATTAAAAGATTTGTTTTGTTAATAGCCAAAGATTAATAAAATTTACCCTCTTTATCAAGCGAAAGTTCAAACTAAGGCTGCATATTCACAAACCAATAATTTAAAAGCCAAGATTTAAAAATACACTTACAATATTGAGCAGAATTTAACACTACAGCAGATGTCATATCGTCGTCGGGCACCAGTGTTGTGAGTTGTTGGCCGTCTACCGGGCTTTATATACAGGCGGCCCACATTCCGTGACCAATCACAAGCTGTTTATTATACGCAAGGCTAAGTTTTAGCCAATGGGAACATTACTTTGTTATGACGTCAAGGTTTCACCATGCCGGAGCGAATCATTTTAACGCCTGCAGGTTTGAGACAAATGGCTGTTTGATGACGACTGAGTGATTTAAAGTTTATTGTAAGCTAAAAGAAGTGTATAACGTGAAGAACAATATATATTAGGAAAGCGTATTTACAGGAGGTGTGAAAATGTATTCAGTGTGTTACTTATCTTGGTAGAAATTGTGAATGTATTGAATGTTTTAGAAGAAGAATATTGGCCTCACGTGAAGTGTCAGACCATTGTTAAGAGGCATATAGTACATGAAATTAGTATTATTGTAATATAAAAAATTGCTAAAATTAAACACAATAGTTAATATGACGACTAAAATAAGATTAGAAAGTACATTGATAAAGAGAGAAAAACAATGAACTATTGAGTTGTTATTAAGATTGACTTGAAATGAATCACACAGCAGAAACGGTAAAAGTAACAAAAGCTTTGAAGTCCTACAGGTGAGTTTACAAAGATACACATATGTTACAAGAAGAAAAGATACACATTAAAAGTAAGTAGAATAATGAAGTAGAGTGCTGCTTGTACTCGGGGGAGGAATATAATCTACTTCCCCGAGGAGAGTCAATTACATCGGGTATAGTCATACTGCTTAGAGAGATATTTACTGATAAAGGTGAAACACGTACAATTTGAGTATGATTTATTTGGTGAGGCCTGACCCAATACCTGACACGTACAGGACAGTAAGTACCTTGGAGAGAAAATGTGGTACCTGATAATATACATATGAGAATGTTACCACGATTTGAAGTGGTTTTGCATTTTTATAATTAAGTTATAAATATATAGCTTTTAGGGTAATGTGTAAAGATTACTCGGGTCGTGATTTTATTAAATTTACCGTTCGTAGTTGTCACCAAGGAATGGAGATAGGAGTGAGTGTAGGGAACATGTTGTTATTTGTGAAGGAAACTTTATTGACTACGATACTATGAGTTGCTATCCTAATTTTTTGGTTCGTTTGGTTATCACAAATTGTCTGGTGTTTGTTGTTCGGTGTAAATACCCAAGAGCAGTTCATCTGGGATAATGCCCTCGTTTGGTTGTGACGGTGTTTACTGGAGAAGTTCGGGGTCCCGGAAAGCACGACTCTGGCGGTTTTGAGCTCGAGAAATTTGGACTATATTTCATGAAATGGACTTTGTTGGATTTTGTTTTAATAACGTTGAAGATTACATCAGAGTTTTTAATGTATCCTCGTACTTTGACGCCAAGGTGAAAAATGAAATGGTGAAAATTTGAAGTTATTCGAATGAGCGGATTCAGTGAGCAGTGAGCGAATAATTTGACGGTTGAGCAGCGAGTTGGCGGCAACTTCGGGTATTTAAAGGGTGGACCGGCAAGGATGGATCAGTTACACTCGGACTATTGTGTCTGGTGGTAGAACTCGTGTATAACTACAATAGAAAGTGTAGTTTGTGAAACAGAAAAGTATATATAATGTTGTGTTAAGACATATATTCGTTGGACAGTTAGTTTCCTGCATTGGAAGTGTTTCCTTAAACGTTTTTCTGTGGTGTTTAACACAAGTCATAAGTTTCATAGGTGTATTTGACTTGAAACATGGTTTAAGAATTTTGTGGTTAACTAGCGAGCTTTTGAAGGTGTTCTTAAATGAAGTATATAGAGTAGAGAATATTTTTGTGATTACGCTAGTTTAATTAAAATAAAAGTTTATATCGTGTTTTAGAAATTTGAAGTGTTAATATTGTTTGTTTGGATGCGAAGTTGAAAGCAGTTTTTAGTGATGGAACTGGACTTGTGAAAATCGGTGAGAAGAAAAACGATGCAGCATTTGTGTACCTTGAGCTTGGATAGTTCATAGTGTTAATTGATGGTGTTGGAATCTTGAAAATTGTTGAGAAGACAAAAAGATGTAGCGTTTATGTGTACCGTGAGCTTGGACAGTTCATAGTGATAAATGATCGAGGTGGAATCTTGAAAATCAGTGAGAAGAAGAAAGATGAAGCGTTTGTGTACCGTGAGCTTGGACAGTTCATAGTGATAGATAATCGAGGTGGAATCTTGAAAATCAGTGAGAAGAAGAAATATGCAGCGTATGTGTACCGTGAGCTTGGACAGTTCATAGTGTTAATTGATGGTGGTGGAATCTTGATAAATCGGTGAGGAAAAAGAAAGATGCAGTATTTATGTGTGTAAAGTAGTAAACGATACTGGTGTCCGTTTTGATGCGTGTATTTTAAGATTGGAGATGTTGTGTATATAGTGACTCCATGAAGTGGAGAAGTGGGAAAGAAAATAATTCTCTCGACAGCAACCGGAGGTAAAGGAGGGGTGACGGCAGGTAAGTGACTATGGATATTGAGTTTACTTAGCGAGGTAAAGATGGGGATTTGACATGAATAACCATATTGAGAGGCTGGTACATGATGTAGTGTACCGTTTTGAAGAGGAATTAATTTATAACATTGTGGGACTGTGATTGGTGGACCTGTTATTAAAGAAAGGAAAGGTAGAATTTTTGTAATAAATAATGTTTAAGTGGTGGGAAGTTAAAGAAAGATGTTGGTATATTTGGTTAAATAATGAAGAAAATTGTATTAATGAGTATTTTATTTATTTAAGAATTTGTAGTAGTTTATTTAAAGATAATAGGAACCGCAAGGAAGCCGCAGTGGGCTGCCGCATGAGCGGAGCCAACTAGCGTGGGAAAGGTTGATTTTTGCTGAGACGTGACCTATAGATGGGCTGACCGGCACAGAGGTAGACCCCGAATTATGAGTTTAGTTAGAGGTAAGGCGAATGAAATTTGTGAATGGGTGTTGTTTGTGCTGTTATATACTGGAGGCTATATAATGGTACTACACGCTCGGTTGTGTGTGGTCGTATGAAGTTGTCGTAGATAGAGGCGAAGTAAGGTGGCAGTGTGCCGTGGGTAAGTTAGTGTTGGCGTTTTATACGCAGATTAGTGTTATTAATTTGTATTGGTTTTGTTTGGGTAGTTGCCTGTTGTAAATTTTGAGGTTGAGCGGTAAGTACTGTTGTGAGAAATTATTTATTATGGTATATGTGAATTGATTGTAATTTGGTTACTCTCAAATGGGTTTTGAGACAGTGCTTGAACCTCGAGTTTTTTTGCAGGTGTATGGAAGGCTAATACTGTGGAATAGAGAAGAGAACGTGGCATAAGTTTTGAGGTGGAGCCTATCGCGTGTGTAGACTTGCGGTGAGGACTGGGTGAATACGGTATTTAAAGTGGAAGTTGTTGGTGATACTGTAGTCGTAGGTGTAATAGGAAAATTGATAAGTGGTTCATGACTAATATATTTGTAATGACAATTTGTGTAAGCTTTATATGTTGGGTAATAAATAATTTTTTTCAGGTTGTTGGTGGAAGGAGCTGGTGTTTTTTGAGGAACAGAGCTGGGTAAGTGATCTTGAAGTTTGTAAAATATTTATGAAATTTTAAATTGATTTTTGGTCTTGTGTCGTAGAGTAATAGACAGGTTAAAAGTTGAAAATAAAATAAATTGTGGCTTGAGTTTGGTAATGTTAAGTTGAAAATGTTGTTAATGTATACTTGATGTTGAATTTTGTTCCTCGGCTGTAGGTTAAAGAAAATGTAAATGAGTTTTGATAAATTGAGTTTATTATATACTGTAGCAGAGGTAGTGAGAAAGTTTTGATAAATGGGTAACGAGTGATCTTTTTTCAGGTTGGTGTCTGGTGGTGGAGGAATGTGGTCGTCGGTTCCCTAGTGCACCCAAGTGTCTCTAGTTTATAGTAGAGACGGGCAAGGGGAGACTTGAGTGAGGTGTATAAACCTGTGAAAGGGCACTACTCTGTCGAGGAACCATACCCGTAGCTGACCGACGCCCGCCTCACAAGGGGCCACAGCTGAAAGGGGGGTGCCGGCGGTAGAGCGGTACCGCTCTCGCCTCGCAAGCGAGACGTCGCGGGTTCGATTCCCGGGCCGGCGGAAAGTGGTTTGGACACACTTCCTAGACCCCCTCGGTCCCTGTCGACCTAGCAGTGAAGTAGGTACCTGTCGTAAATCGAAAGTTGCGAATTCGTATTCGGGGACAAGTTGTTGGAGCTAGCCGACAAAATGTTAAAGACGGTCAAGGGTTGTATGCCATTGACCAAAAATGCTATGACCCTTTAGGCTCGTGCTCACGAGACAGAAAGGCAAGCACGAACTTGGCATGCTGCCTAGTTGGGTGGTGTAGGCGCTTCTGCCCTTCACCTTGCATGGGAATAAAGGGGGGGAGGGGGGATGCCCCTCCCCCCCCCCAAAAAAGTGGTAATAAGAAATCTAAAAATGGTGGAGTAGAATATAGACTTGTGTTGACGGTATCGACTAACCAAGAAGAAGTATGGTAACCATCCAGAGGTGGGGGAAGCTGATGTTTGAAACGAGCCGAGTGTTGTAACCAGTCGGCCTGTGCACCATGTATTTAAAGGTAATGTACACTGTTAACTGGTTGAAGATGGGGTCTGTTTTATATGAAAATGGTTGAAGGTGGGGTGTGTTTGATATGAAAATGAAGAGCGACTCTGGTTGTCGTTATTGATGTTGTATTATGTAAGTTTTGTACGTTATTTGTTTTCTACAGGAGTTGTTGCAGTCCATAAGACGTGATAATCCAGAGGGACATTAACGCTGGACTGAATGTTGGAAATGAGAGGCACTGAAGGTGTAAGTATTGTTTATTGAAGTTGCACCTATACTTTGTGTTAATTTGAAGAGTAAAGTAATTGTAACATTGACGTATTGTTATTTTTTTTCCATGCCGGTGGTGGATGAATATGGGCGAATTGTCGAGAGGAGCGCGTGGACACCGGATACCGTGACGTAAAATTTTGCAGTGTATTATTTGAAGGTGAGTTTTGGTTGTATTTGAAAGTTATAGGTAAAGTTTGTTGTTGGTGAAAAGTCTTGTTAGGAGTGTGGTAAGAATGTTATCGATGTGGGTTTTGCCAGGAGTGTGGGAGTATTTTGAGGTTACTATTTGGAGAGGTGTTATGACTGGAGTTGTAGGAGAACATGCAGGTGTAATGTAATTGTGGTTTGATGGATAAGAGTAATTTTGTATTGAGATTTTAGTCGTTAAAAGCGTTTGTTTTTTGCAGTTTGTTGAGGAAAAAGGATGGGGTAATTGTAGGGGGGGGGCATTAGTGAGTTTGTATTTGTTTTAAAGTTAAGGTGGGCAATGTGAGGAAAGTTGTATGTATTTTTGTAGGCTGTAGGGGAGGAATTGTGCGCCTCGTAAATGTAAGCAGGTGTGGCTGTTTAAAATTGGGAGAAATAAACATGGTGCATTATTTTGGTTGTGAAATGTTTGTTGTTGTTTTTCAGGTTTTCGGATGGGGTGGTGTTGGCAAGTGCCGTAAGGAGGTTTTTGACAGGGTGGACTACTACATGCATGGGGCTGTGCATTAGACTGTGTTGAGGAGAAGGAGCAGCAGAAGCAGTAGTAGCAGCATTTTAAGATAAGTGTTGTGGTGTGTTGCATGATGAATGGTTTGGAATAGTTTAGGGAATTGAGTGTATTGTAGTTGAATTGTTGTCAGATGTGTAGTGATGTGAAATGAATGTAAGTTGTTGAGCAGGAATTCTAGGTTAGTTTTAGATTAGTATATGTGGAGAATGGATGTAGCAGGTAATAGAAATGTTAAGAATAGTGTAGAGGCATATATATTTTTGATTTCATATAATGTTTGTTTTTTCTTTGTAGGTTAAATGGGTGTACTTATTGGGGAGTGTGGCGTTGGAGCTGTTTTGTGAAAGGACGACGGCGACCTGTATGGAGGTAGAGTAATGAAGTGTGGCAGGGTATTTTTATGGAGATTATAAGGAGGGCGATTGGAGATGTTGCAATAGGAAGGTGATGTGGCAGGTAAAAATGAATGGAGATTTAGGTTGTGGAGGAAATAATGTGTTTTTGTGTTTCAGGCCGGATTGGAGTAGGAGAATTTTTTAGTGGGAATGGTGGGCGGCAGCTGTGACGTGAGCGAAAGGGTAAGAAGTGAGGAGGCGATTGTTTGTGTTAAAGAGTTTGTGTTTGAATTTAGGTAAGATTTTAGGTTTGGAAGTGTAGGGATGAGTTTAGTGAAGGGGTTCCGACTTGAGTGGGAGTAATAAATTAGAGTAGGACGTGGGCCGGCGTTTTGTAGTAGAATGGGCGGGAAGGTGAATTTGTTGTGGGGAGAAGGTATTGGGTGGGGTAGAATGTTTTTTTTTTTTGTAGGAAGATGTGGTGGGTATGTATTGTAATTGTATAGTAGTGTTTGTAGAATTGAGTTGTAATAGTTTGTTTGTAGCAGGCTAGTATTGTTGTTACACACTGGAGGCTGTGTAATGATTGGTACTAGCCTGGGTGAATGGTTTGTAGTAGAGTATGTAGTTTGAGTTGTGTATATTGTTTTTAAGTTGGCATTTGTAGTGTAGGGTGTGGTTTAAAAGGAAGAAGTTGGGTTTTGGCAGTTGCGGGCTCGGCCGAGTTCGAGTTTTTGTCGTAGGCAAGCGACTAGGAAGGAGAGGGAAGTGCGAATGCACGAACATCGTCGGAATGGCGTTTAATATGGAATTGTTAATGTTTTCAGAGGAGCACCCGTCCAGTGGGAATCCCCAAAGGGGGCCGAGGGGAACGGAATCCCGCCGACGAGTCTCGTGGGCGACAGAGCCGAGAGCGTGCAGTTACCGGCCAGGGAAGGAGGAGCGCCATCGATTCGCAGCGGAACGTCGTGGAGTTTTGCCGCGAAGACGACGGCTGCAGTGCCCTGTACGTGTAACGCATCGGATAGAAGAGGCCATTACGAGCGGACCTCTACAGTTGGCGGCAGTCGTCATGTAAGAGTGTAATTTGCTAAATGTTTTCTCCGTTTCAGATGGAACTGATGGGGCGAAGTCGCCGTCGAGGATTACGTGTCTCTGCGACTGGGGCGTACGGAGCCGAGAAGACGACGTCCCTCGAACGCGTAGGGTGCGACCGTTGTGTGTGGAGCCGATGAGAAGACGTCGTTTGAAGGTATAGCTGTCATCTCTGTGAAGCCGAGGAGAAGTCCCGTGAAAGTCTAGCCGTGGTCCCAGTGACTGGGGTGTATGGAGCCGAGAAGACGTCCTTTGAATGTATAGCCGTCGTCTCAGTGACTGGGGGTGTATGGAGCCGAGAAGACGTCCTTTGAATGTATAGCCGTCATCTCTGTGAATCCGAGGAGAAGATGTCCTTTGAGGGTATAGCCGTCGTCTGTTACTGGGGTGAAGACGTCCCGTGAAAGTCTAGCCGTGGTCCCAGTGACTGGGGTGTATGGAGCCGAGAAGACGTCCTTTGAAGGTATAGCTGTCATTTCTGAAGCTGAGGAGAAGACGTCCCGTGAACGTATAGCCGTGGTCCCAGTGATTGGGGTGTATGGAGCCGAGAAGACGTCTTTTGAACGTATAGCCGTCATCTCCGTGAAGATGACGTCCTTTGAACGTATAGCTGTCGTCCCCGTGGCTGGAGCCGAGAGGATGATGTTTGAAGCAGAAATTGATGTACTGTACTGTTATATTGCTAAGTGTATAGAATATATGTATTTGAGTTGAATTTTGTGTTTTCTTAATGGCCTGATGTGCATTTTGAGTGGGAGATGTGTGAAGTAGAAACACATAAGGTGGAGGACGACGACAAGTGATTGAGGCACCAGAAAACGTCGAGATGAAGGTAATGTGTGAAAAGTTGAGATTGGTTAATGTAATATGATTGTTGGTAAAGTAAAGGTGTTGAAATATAATTGATATAGAGATTAGTTAAATTAAAGTAAAGGTGTTGAAATATAATTGACATTGAAATTAGTTAATGTAAAGGTGTTGAAATATAGATAACGTGTATTATTGTGAATTTTAATGCTTGTTTTTGTTTCTCCCTTTACTTGCAGGTACACGGGAACACATGTGGTGTTGTTTTAGAGTGTTTATTGAGCAACAAAGGTGATTTTTCAACTGAAAGAGTAGTTATTCCTCTTTGGTGAGTTGGTGTTTTTGATGTTTGTTTGCAAACGTTAGCTCGGACATTGTCATTCTATCAACGACAATTGTCCAAAGACACGACATCTGTGTCATGAGAGCTATACGACAAGACTAGACCTATTGTTGGTACTGACATTACTGTCAGTATTGACAGTAGGTTAATGTCTGATTGCAAATCAAACACGAAAACACTAACTAAAAAACCAATTTGGAATAACTACTTTCTTTCAGTTGAAAAATCACCTTTGTTGATCAATAAACACTCTAAAAATTAACTTATAATAATATAGAAGGTGGCCAGGGCCTATCTTAAAAAGATAGCGAGTTTGAAAAAAATCCCGTTTTCTGTTCACTTGGAGAAAATGGGAAACTATCAAAGAAAATGGGAAATTTTCCTCTATTTTCTCTGGCTCAAAAAACTCCCGTTTTCTATGATGCCAGCTTCCTATGTGATCCCATTTTCTACAACTTCACCTATTCTAAATATGGCTGTACTTTAACTTGTGAAAAATAAAGACATTGATTATATGCTTTCTTTTATTATACTCAAAATATTTCTGTCCACATACATGAAAAATATAGTCCACAAAGGAAGAAAAATTTTCTAAGTCCACAACACATGGAAAAAAAACTAAGTCCACACACCAAGAACATTTTCTATGTCCACAATGGATGAAAAAAAATAAGTCCACAACACATGACATTTTTCTGTCCACAAAGGATGAAAATTTACTAATTCCACAAAGGATGAAAATACTAAGTCTACACACTGGAAAAAAAAAACTAAGTCCACAGAAGATAAAAAATTTGTGTTGAGGACTGATTTTTTTTAAGTGCACAAAGAATGAAAAATATTCTAAGTCCACAAACATTGAAACAAACAAATTAATCCACAAAGGATAAAAAAAAAATTTTAAGTCCACAAACATAATAAATTTTTCTAAGTAAACAAAGGATAAAAAAATACTAAGTCCACAAATAATGAAAAATATTAAAGTCCACAACACGAAAAATTTTTCTAAGTCCACAAGAGATGAAAATTTTTCTAAGTTCACAAAAGAAAATATTCTTTTAAGTCCATAAAGGATACAAAAATTTTCAAGGTCCACAACACAAAATTTTTTTTTAAGTCCACACAAGATAAGAAATTTTTTTCAAAGTACACAAAATACTAAGTCCACAAAGGATGAGAAATCTTTATAAGTCCACACACATGGAAACAAAAACTAAGTCCACAAATGATAACAAATTTTTTCTAAGTACACAAAGGATAACAAATATTAAGTCCACAAAGAATGAGAAATTTTTATAAGTCCACACACATAGAAAAAAAATAAGCACAAAGGATAAAAGAATTTTCTAAGTCCACAACACATGAAAATTTTTATAAGTCCACAAAAAATAAAAAAAAATTTTCTAAGTACACAAAGGATAAAAAATACTAAGTCCACAAAGGATGAGAAATTTTTATAAGTCCACAAAGGATGCCAATTTTTCTAAGTTCACAAACAATAAATTGGTCAAAGTACACAAATACTAAGTACACAAAGGATGAAAAATACTAAGTCCACAAACGATAAGATAGTTTTCTAAGTCCACAAGGGATAAATATTTTTCTACGTTCACAAACATATTAATTTCTTCCGAGTCCACAAAAGATAATAATTTTTTCTAACTACACAAAGAATAACAAATACCAATTCCACAAAGGATAACAAATTTTCTAAGTCCACAAAGGATAAAAAAATACTAAGTCCACAAAACATGAAAAATTTTCCATGTCCACACAGGATGAAAAATATTCGAAGTCCACAAACAGTAATTTTTTTCGAACTCCACAAAGGATAACAAATTTTCCAAAGTCCACAAACATGAAAAATATACTAAGTCCACAAACAATAAAAACATACTAACTCCACAACACATGACAAAATTTTAAAAGTCCACAAACATATTAATTTTTTCAAAGTCCACAAAGGATAATAAATTTTAGAAGTCCACAAATATTATCAATTATTCAAAGTCCACAAAGAAAACAAAAATTTCCAAGTCCACAAAAGATAAAAAACATTCAAAGTCCACAAAACATCACAAATTTTATATATCCACACACGATACAAAATATTCTAACTCCACAAACATTTCAAAGTCCACAAATATTCGAAATTATTTGAACTCCACAAACATAATAAATTATTCAAAGTCCACAAATATTCTAAATTATTACAAGTCCACAAACATATTCAATTATTACAAGTCCACAAAACAAAAAAGATATTCCAAGTCCACAAACATAATAATTCTTTTCCAAGCCCACAAAGGATAAAAAAAATACTAACTTCACAAACATTCAAAAATCTTACAAGTCCACATACATGAAAAATATACTAAGTCCACAAACAATAAATTTTTCAAAGGCCACAAAGAATACAAAATTATTCAAAGTCCACAAACAACAAATTATTCAGTCCACAAATATTCCAAATTATTCCAACTACACAAACATAAGAAATTATTCAAAGTCCACAAATATTATCAATTATTACAAGTCGACAAAACAAAAACTATATTCCAAGTCCACAAACATTATAAATTATTACAAGTCCACAAACAGAAATTATTACAAGTCCACAAATATAATCAATTATTCAAAGTCCACAAAACATAAACTATATTCAAAGGCCAAAAAAACATTCAAACTCAAGAAACATTAGAAATCATTCCTAGTCCACAACACATGAAACACATTTTCCAAATCCACAAAAAATATATTCCACATGCACAAATAACTTGCATATATTCAAACATAATACAAATCCAAAACTTATTCAAAGTACAAATACCTCCCATAAATTCCACCAAAATTGTACGACTCAAAAATTATTACGAGTATACAAATAACTAGTACATTACAACAACCGTAACAAATTGCATGTCGACAAATATTACAAGTCCACAATTAACTTTAATCAATTCAATCATTTTTAAAACTCCACAAGTGACTAAACGACACAATTTTCTTTTTACGAGCCCACGAGTCAATACGACGACAGACGAATAACTCGACGATATTACGACTGTGCCCATTTATAACATTACAGACAATTCCCTAATATTTAAACTCCACAAATAACTTCCACCGTTTTATACCGCTATTCAAACGACAAAACACGTTCAAAGAAATCACAACAAAATATTACAACTATACAATTGACTCCATTCAACTTCAAAAAATAACTACACCACAATAAAACATTTTCATTCTCATCAATTTTACAACATTAACTTACACTTTCCAACATCTCCACCTCGACCATTTCGCAATAAATAACCGCGCACGCGCAAAACGACAATTCGTAGTCGCCATTTCTCGACGCGACTGCGTATTCGCTCGCCGGACGACAAATATTTCACACTAAACACATTACACCCATAATAACTTAACATTATTATTATTATTATTATCAATAACAATCACTTTACAAATCAAAATAGACCTCTTCATTTATTCAAATATCACCACAATATCTATTTCATACTCACGACATTTACAAACGCATTTATAACAACGCCAATAAGTGAAATCTACACAAAGCAACAGTAATACGACAACAAATTACATTTCCGACAACGCGCGTATAAACGGACACGACAACCGACGGAGGGAAGAGGAGAGGATCGACACCAATGGGAGGGTGACAACGAACAGGATGAGGAGGGAGGGACACAAAAACAAAGGGAGGAGGAAAACGAAGGGACTCGCATTCAAACGCGGGGACAACAACAGATAACACGAGGAGGAGGAGGAGGGGAAAAGGCAACGGGAGAAAAGGGACACGAAGGAGGAGGAGGAGGAACGACAACGGAGAGCCGGGGGGAAAAGAAATAAACGAAGAGAGGGGTTACAAAATAAACGCCGTCCTCGTATTCCTTTCCCTTCTCGTCCGCCAAATTTAACTATTATACACATTAACGATAGACACCTCGACACGAACGCAACTACGCGCGTACTTCGAATCCACAATTACGTACGAGTATAAATCGATGCCTAATAAACGACACGCCGCTAATAACCAAAAACGCATTACAGCCGCATCGCGTGTTTCCTCGAGTACGTGTCGTCGAGTCAAAATGTGCACCCGCAACCGTCCGCTCTCCCGAGAACTGCCCCTATCGAACCTTCCCACTATTTAAAACCTATTCCTCTTAACCAACTCTACTTCAAAACCACTCTTTACCCATCTCCCGCATATGCGAATCTCCAAGTCCGTAACTACTGCCGTACCTCCGAGGCTTCCCTCTGTCGGCCGCGGCGTCTCGATGCGTGGCCGAGCACGCAGATCGCCATTTCGCTACTGTGTGCCGGACGCGACCGCTCGACCCGCTTACCTACCGGCCCCCCTTCCCACTGACTTAGTAGAAGAATTTCAAATAGCAAAACGCCTGCACAAACTAAAAGTAAAACGCTCTACCACCCCCATTGACTTACCAATGAAACTCTTCGAGGAGTTCTCCCCGGAGCTTGCCAAACCCCCGTGCTCCGTCGTCGATGCTTCTCTCGGTCGAGCCGGATGCCCAGCTGACTGGAACACCTCTTATGTATCACCAGTGCCCAAGTCAACCAGCCCACAATCCTTAAATCAACTACGACCTATTGCAATCGCCCCAATATTCGGCCTAATCTGTGAAAGTTTTGTGTTCGACTGGGCTTATGCCGATATTGCACGAGTCGTAGACCCTCGGCAATTTGGCAACGCGAAAACTTCCTCCTCCACTCGTCGGCTCTCTCGATTACGTGTACCGCCGTCTCGAGAGACGAAAAACGTCTGTAGCTGTCGCCTTCGTTGATTTCACTAGCATTCAACCACAATATAATCATCGACAGAGCTATTGACCTCTGACTTCGGACAAGTCTTACACCTCGGCTTGCAGACTTTCTCGGTGACCGATGCCGAGCCGTACGCTTCCGAGGGGCTGTCTCCGCCTTTCGGTCCCCCGAGGCACCGACGTGGGACCGCTCCGCTTCCTCGTGCTCGTCGATGATGCGTCGACAATTCTGCTCCCGACTATACCGCCCTTCGGGATTTATTGAACGGTCTCCAAAACTGAGCCACCAACAACCGTGTCACCATCAACCGTACCGAGACCGCGGTTATGGACGTCAACCTCTCCTCCGACATTGTCCCACCTCCTTCCATTACTCTAGGTCCCAACACACGTCAGCGAACTTGTCAAATCCACCGGTTTCTGTCGACTCGAGTTCCTGCACCCGAGCTCCTCGGTGTTTACGCAACATTCGTACTTCCCGAGCTCGCCTATGCCTCCCCCACCTGGTCTTCCTCCCTAATGCCACACCACGTAAACACCTAGAACAAGTGCAAAAGAGGGCATGCAAGATTATTCTCTCCCCTTCCTACTCCACATATCAAGAAGCGCTCAACACACTGACCATCACCACGACCTCATCTGCAAATTTGGTAACGAGCTTCTACGCCGTCCTCGAAGCCGGCTCCTACTACCGCCCGAGATCTCCAGCCCGTACGTGCACGAACCGATCGCTATAAGAACGGCCCAGTCCCAACCATTGTAAAAGTTATCAATAACTTGTAATAAACCAGTGTATTCACTCCCAGTAAACACTACTCCTTGCACTATCACTATTTTGAAATGCACTGTAGTTTAAGCTTTTCCCCATCTAGTTGTTATATATCTTATTTATATCACTTATCTTACTTGTATATTATTTGTAATTCGAAACCCATTCCCCAAATATGTAACTGTATATTTTCAACCTTCTGGCTGCCAACCTCTTTCAATAAACCATTAATTATTATTATTATTATTATTATTATTCACGTCTATTCTCCTACTTTCCTCGTGACCCCGCGTCGTCTCCCTCTCCGTACTTCCCCCGCATTCCGTGTCCGTCCTCCGCCCCTCTTTCCCGTCCCGTGAACAGACCGCGATCGACCGTAGTCTATATCCGCAAATACCTGCACCCCCCCCCTTTTACGTATTACTCTCCTAAACCGACATTTACTCGATTCGTCGTCGCCGCCCCTTCTGCGTCCGGTCGTTCAAAGACGTCGTCGATTCGATCGTCTCCCGCGACCGTGCCGCCGATCCTCGACTCGTCCCTTCCGCAGATTTCCCCGCGTGTCCTCTACCGCGCGACTTCTTCCCTCTTCAAAATCCCCAGCGCATCCATTTCTCACAATTACGCCACCGCGCCGACCGAGCGATAGCGCGCCGATTCCTTTCGTGCCCTGCAAAATCTATCGATCCTTGTCCCTCCCACCGTCCTTATCGCCTTTTACTTTATATCTTCACTAATATATAACTACTACCTCAATCTATTTCCTTTACTCTCTCTCTTTCTAAATAGTCAGTCCTAAACAACTATCTTCTAATTCTCCCTTCTCATAACTCAACAAAATAGTCATCAGTTACCTCAACAACACCATCTTATTCATCTATGTCGGTCCGATCTGCCCCTTCTTTTACTTTCAAAATGCGAGCGTCGTCTCATATTTGCGCTTCAATTATTTGAGGACGTATCCCGCCGCCGGTGACCTGCGTGCCGGAATTCCGCATTAAATGACATTCGAAATGCTACGACCTATTTGCTAAATGTCTACAATGATCATCTTGTCAACAAATTATTGCAAACCCCTAGTCATCACAGGAAACATCTTCAATAAATTCATTCTCACTATGTATCGACTTCCAAAGTCGGTATGTAAAAACAATACTACAAACATTATAAAAGTCATTACTCTACACAAACAAAACGGGCATCAATTTTACAAATTAACTTCGTCTTTAAAACATTCAAACTGGACTGGCACAAAACATAAGTCGCGATACAATATCGACACGCGTCTTCTTCTGCATCGACGAGTGTATTCTTCCCGTATTCCGCGGTGTCTTCCTCGCACGTCCGGCGATATCTTCGTCCGCAATTGACGAGTGTCTTCGTGGCGCGTCGAGCGGCGTCTTCATCCTCGGTCGACGGTCTTCGTCCGAATCGGCTCAGAAACGCTCTCGGACGCCGACTGTAGAATCTGTCTCCGTTCCCGTCTCTAACTTGCATCGGCTCGCTCGTCCACAACTGAAACAAACAAATTACTATAAATATATATATATAAACAATTATCTACTAATAAGAAATTAAAGATTGCAAACTGTAGGCCTACAATTCGGTTAACGAACAAAAAGTCAGTTGACGAATTTCATACGAACCGACCTCGACGTGTTTACGCTTGCACTGACCGGGCAACCGGCCTTAGTATCAGTCCGCCAATACATTAATCGGTTCTAGGGCTTAAATTCCTTACTATTTTACTAAATATCAAGAAGTTTATACTATTCAATAATTCTAAAAGTTTAATATTCAATTTTTTAGTCATTTTAACAATTATTGAACATAATTGAAGGTAAAGTGACTAGTTTAATGCGCAGCATCCAGCCTCTTACTACAGCAAACAGGCATTAGTGTCTCTCTGTTTTCACTGGAGGTAACATCTTGCTTGAGACTCTCTTCAACTAAACGCTTTTTTTTCTGAGTTTCCAAGCAAATTATTGGTCATTTTGAAATATATTTTACATATTGACAAAATACAGTATAATGCAGTGCAGTGTTGATTTAAATAAATTAATCTTGAATTACACCAAGAGAGCTAAAATTTTATGGGTGAAATGTCGCCATGGGGTGACTTCTCTTCTTCCTTCTCCTCCACCCCCATTCTAAATCCCATCATCATAATCCAGGAGCCTTCTACATATACACCTCAAAGTAAGTGAACTTTTCTACCATTTTTGTTGAATTTAGGAAATTTTCGTTGAGCTGGAACCAATTACCCAAAAACCCATTGAAACAAGGGTTTCGGTTAACAAACGACCTTCTGGAATGGATTGAGTTCGTTAACCAAGGGGTCACTGTGTGTGTGTGTGTGTGTATATATATATATATATATATATATATATATATATATATATATATATATATATATATATATATATATATATATATATATATATATATATATATATATATATATATATATATATATATATACATACATACATACATACATACATACATACATACATACATACATACATACATACATATATTCAACAACCTGAGAAAAAACACAAAGTGATTTCTTTTTCCTTGTGATTATCAACATATACCTGCATCACACGCACCTACAGTGATTTACTTGCATATATATGTATGTATGTATGTAATATGTATGTGTATACATGTGTATATATGTATATGTATGTGTATATGTACATGTATAAATAAATAAATAAATAAATAAAAAATAAAAATAATAAAATAAATACATATTGAAGTGATAACGTGGTAACATTATGAGATATTATTATTACTACCATGCTGTTGTGCACTATTCCAGATGATACTAAATATTTTATAATACTTCCTTGAGAGATAAATGTATAGTATATATCGGAATTGCCTCAAAGAAACAGGTTCTCAACTGGCTCATATTATTAATATTGTTATTTCTATCCTCTGTATCTGTATTTTCTGGCTAAATAAGAGGTTTCAATTCAATGTCGTCAACAACTATATTATGCATCTCAGTGTGAATGAAACCGTTACTACGACACAATGTGGTGAAATGTGTCTGCCCGGGGTCGTCTCGGTCTTGCTGCGTGACGTTCCAGAAACTCTTCCATTTTCATGAATATTTCGATATTATTGTAATCCTCTGATTTGGCCTTGCTTCTACCCAGCACAATACATACATTAATAAAGCTTAATAGATTTCTTGTTAGAGTAAAGCATATACTGTGTAATGGTCGTGATGACGGGTTAACCTGAAAACCTAGGATTCATATTACGCCAAACGTCCACAAAACCTTCTGAGTCCCCCAGTGGAAACGACCCCGTTTTTTTTTGTTTCCGTCTTTGTCTTAAGGGAACTTTGAATATAATCCACGGATTTAATAGCAGACGCTGTATGTTGGGGACCTGTTGCCATCCAACCCTTTGTAATCAATTTAATTTTGCTTTTGATAGCTGAGTCAGAGCATTGTTAGTGAAGATAATAGTAGGGAATGAAACTGAGTTCATAGTCTCAGTTTCAACGTCAGAGTGTGTACAGTGAATTAATTCATCGAATAGAAGTAGGTGGACTCCTGGTCGGTTTTGGAGGAGGCCCTGCGGGCATTTCTAGTAGTCAGTGCCCGTCCTTCATCCATACAGGTATGCCATTCCACTCTGTGTTGTAATTCACTTTCTTTAAGTGATTTGACCCAATTATTGATTGTGCAAGTGTTACAGTAACGTAGTTGATATGCTCTGAGTGAAGTCATATTTACGTCTTTAACGTCCCCTGAAACGTAATGTTGTTGTCACAGTTAGTGAGTGCCCGTCCCTTCATCCATACAGATCCCATTGTGATTCTTGAATCGCTCTACCATCCAACAACGGCCTCGGATGTATTAGATGTCCAGCTGGGATCATATATGAGAAGATGGCACCGATGTGCCTGATAAATGTGCCCCACGGCTTCTTGCCAGACCCCAGACCCGCCATGTGTCTGGCTACCCACAATAACAACAGCCCCAGTGCTCTACCCTGGGTTACTCCTTGGAAGTATATGTCCACAGAGAGTGTTGTAATGATATGTTAGGGATAATTAGTTGGAAATAATTATCCCATGTTGGGTAGTGGACCCCTGCATATACTAGTGTCCTTGTTTACGTATATGTTGAATAGTCTACAATGAGTGCCATGTAATGTACCACCAGTAATGTTGTGAGTAAGAGTAAAGAAGAAGGTACTGAGTTTGCACTAAGCCCAGGAGGTGAGCCTGGTAATTATATGATTAATATAATATCTTTCCCCATTGATGGCATATTAATAAATTTGTTGCAGAGTACTTTAGGTATATTCATTTCTCCCACAGTATTTTACCTTTATTTCCATCCACGTGACCTGATACCAAAATTACCACTCACGTGCCTAGACCCTCGACCATGCTACCAAAAGAATGTCCAGGCTACCAAAAGAATGTCCATGCTACCCTAGAATAGGTGACGGAACTGAGTAAGAGTAAGAACTAAGAGAAGTAAGTAAGATGAGGGTGGTGTAGACACAGAGGAGTCAGGCCCCTCACATTGGTGACAGACCAAGAAACCACCCCCTCACAACTGTACAGTTGCATGTCACACGAGGATGACTCCCTCTCTCGCCACCCGCCGTCTATAGCCGTTGCTGATAGTGACCGGGTGTACCTGTACCAACTTATGCTGATGCACTGGGGATCACATCAATGTATTTCATCTAGCGTTTCAAATTTTACCGCTAAAAAATCTATAGATACTTTTTGGAGACTACATAATTTGGGGGGGAACTTTTTTCATTGTAGAAAAGTATCTTGGCTTTTATAATGTGAGTCTATAGGAATATTGATTCGATTTACTATAGGTTTTTATAAAACACAGTACAGGTACTCTTATAAACTGGGGAATGCCTGTAGAACTTTCCTAACATTCAAAGTACCACAACAATATGAAATACAATACCACAGACTACTTCAGGTCCACTTCACTGCAGGTCCAGTTCACTTTATCTCCAGCCAACTTCATTCTAGTTCACATCAGGTCCACTTTAGGCAGTGATGGAGAAAGTACCTGAAAATATTACTTAAGATAAAGTACTGCACTGTTGATATGCAAACATTTAAACTAAGTACTGTAGTCTTCTTCAAAACTATGCAAATAAAAGTTTCATTAACTGAATTGAAACATACAAGCAGAAAAAGGTGCATGTAGCACAGCACAGTACAGTTCAGTACTGTACATAGGAAGTGGAGGTGCAGTTATTCACAAAACATTTGTGTTTGTTGTCGGCAGTAGTGACGGTGGAGGTGGAGGAGGCGGAGGAGGGAGCGAGTTGGGAGGAGTGGTGACCTTGGATGCAGGAGCAGGGACGAGATGCCAGCCAGTACATTACGGGTGTATTAATTGTTTTTATAGCTATTTTTGCATTTTAATATTAAATACTGTACATTACGTTTCAACAAAACTACCATTTATTTCTGAGAACATGGAAATGTAATATTTTTGCTGAAATGATGTACGTATTACAGTGTTAAGTGACGAAAGCAATGACTGCTTTCTTTCGTTCAAAAGATGTTACCGTAATCGCTTTTCGAGTGGTTTTCAGTTGTGGGATTATAAGGCTAATGATAGGATAGAATATTATTGTAATACTGTATGAGTACAGTACAACAGTTTTTTAACTGAAAACCATTCGAAAAGCGATTACGGTAATATCTTTTGAGCAACGAAAGAAAGCGAAAGTCATTGTTTTCATAATTTTATCCCAATTTCCACTGTACAGTAATATGTACGTCATTTCAGCCAAAATATTACATTTCCATATTTATTTCTGAGAATATATTAATTCAGTCACAGTTAAGGTAAAATATACTTGTGATGTAATATTTTAATGAAAATACGGTATCGTAGTTTTCTTTTGTATCAAATTTAATTAACAAAGATTGATGTTTCAAATGTAATGAACAAAAATTTATGTACAGTATCTATAAATAAACTTTAACAAATGAATACTTTGTTTAACATCGTCCTGTGTATACCATACCATGGATTTGGCTACTTTGGGCTAGCTATGATGACGCAAGAGACTGCCCTGGCGGCTGTACCGACACTCACAGCGGGTGGTGCGTTGGTGCGTCGTTTCCATAGTTTACTGGTAGTTACTGGTAAATATTTTTCAACCTAACGAAACTATTACCCTTTTAGAGGTCGACCCCCAATTTTTTGCAAAATAATTTGGTCTTAAAAACTCGAACTACACACAGGTATATATGGTAAATAAGGACATGGGGGGGCCAGGGGTTTTTTAGGGGGGCTAGTAAAAGGATTGATTTTAACATTCACGGGTATTCTGTTACCTAACCCCGCGTATGTTAAGGGCCGACTGTGTGTGTGTGTATGTGTAAATAAATAAAAAAAATAAAAATAAATAAATAAAAAATAAAATTAATAAATAATAAAATAAATAAATATTGAAGGGATAACCGTGGTAACATTATGAGATGTACTTATTACTACCATGCTATTGTACTATTCCAGATGATACTAAATGTTACATAATACTTCCTTGAGATAAATGTATAGTATATATCAGGTGCCTCAAAGACAGCTCAGGTTCTCAACTGGCTCAGCCATGTTAATATTGTTATTTCTATCCACTCTGTATCTGCATTTTTCTGGCTAAATAAGATGTTTCAATTCAATGACGTCAACAACTACATCGTGCATCTCGGTACGAATGAAACCGTTACAACGACACAATGGTGAAACGTCTGCTCCGAGGTCCGTCTCGGTCTCGCTTGTGACGTTCCAAAACTCTTCCGTTTCACGAATATTTTGATATTATTGTAATCCTCGGTTGGGGCCTTGCTTCTACCCAGCACGATACATACATTAATATAGCTTAATGGATTTCTTGTTATAGAAAAGCATATACCGTACAGTTGTATGTCACACAACGGATGACTCCCTCTCTTGCTACCCGCCGTCTATAGCCGTTGCTGATACAGTGACCGGGTGTACCTGTACCAACTCGTGCTGATGCACTGGGGATCACATCAATGTATTTAATCTAGCGTTTCAAATTTTACCGCTAAAAAATCTATCGATACTTTTTGGAGACTACATAATTTGGGGGCGGAACTTTTTTCATTGTAGAAAAGTATCTTGACTTTTATACTGTGAGAATATCGGAATATTGATTCGATTTACTATAGGTTTTTATAAAACACAGTACAGGTACTCTTATAAACTGGGGAATGCCTGTAGAACTTTCCTAACATTCAAAGTACCACAACAATATGAAATACAATACCACAGACTACTTCAGGTCCACTTCACTGCAGGTCCAGTTCACTTTATCTCCAGCCAACTTCATTCTAGTTCACATCAGGTCCACTTTAGGCAGTGATGGAGAAAGTACCTGAAAATATTACTTAAGATAAAGTACTGCACTGTTGATATGCAAACATTTAAACTAAGTACTGTAGTCTTCTTCAAAACTATGCAAATAAAAGTTTCATTAACTGAATTGAAACATACAAGCAGAAAAAGGTATAAAAAGTAGTACAACATTTGTAAAGAATCATAATTAATAAACAATGACATTATGCTTTAAAAACGAAGCTTAAAGTTATTAATAAACTGTACTGTACTTTAAAGAAAAACTAAATAAACACATAATCAAAATTTGGTATGGGATGGAAAATGTGAATCTGGGCCATAGTTTTGAGAGGTCCCGTACCGCCGACACCAATGGGACGTCACATTAAACACAAACGTTTACATAAATGACCACTTTTATAGGATTACTGTACAAGTACACTTAAATACAAGTCCTCTAATACACTCGACTTGTGCACCCGACGACGAGACGTGAAGTGACGACGTCGGTCTCCCCTCTCGCGGGTCGGCGGCGTTTCTCCGTTAACGGAGTCTGAACTTGCCGTGGAGGTGTGTTGTTGGTCCTTGAAGTTTCCTGGAAATGTGACCATTAGCTATATAATACACAACACTGTAAAACTATTATATTATAGGCAGGGATTATTTGACCAGTACTCGGCACAATAACCGCCGGTTATTTGACCGAGATCTAAAATAAAACTAAATACTTTTGCCCACAAAAACTTCTACAATTAAATAATACCATAATGTAATGACTTGTTTAATGCCCACAATCAACCCGAATACAATCCCATTAAAATCGTATACGTGCGATCCCCGCAGTTCCCGGTCAAATAGCCGACGGTTATTTGGCCCAGAATCATGGTCAAATAACAACTTCGTACACTTATAATAGAGGCACTTGTTTGTTTAATACCACATGGAGGAACTGATTACTCAAATCGGTTAGGTTAGGTTGAAATTGGGTTTTTCCAATAGTTTTTGATGTGTTTAGAATGAGTCTGACCTTCCGAAAGTAGGCGCTTCGCCGAAACTACAATTTTCCGTGTTTTGATTTTGTTTTGTTTTTTCTAATAGATACGTGTGACCTTTATTTCCTTTAACACTAGAAACAACAACAATCATTCTTCCAAACTGAATTAAACAAAATTGAAAACCCTACCTAACCTTTTGTGGCGGACGCACAAAAACCGAATCGGCACACCCGGATTCTTACGCGACATGTCGCGGTTACATTTTGTGGACGTAACCAAAATACGACGAAGCTACGACAATATTGACGGATTCTTATTGCACTAGCGGGCAAAAACTTTTGCGCAATTTAATATTTAAATTTCTTTCGTTTGAATTTCACATAATCTGCTGTGACCAATCAGAGGACAGTTCAAATCTACATGTATTGGGATTGCAAATAAGTTTCTTAAACGTATTCCAGCTTCCCTAGTGACCTATAAATGCTAATGACTCACTGACAAAACATTAATGAAATAACTTTTTCATTTATCATCAGTTAAATAAAGTAACCTTAATATATTATTTGAAGTGTTAAGGGATAGGAAAGGTTAGGTTAGGTTTTTTCTTTTTTTCTCAGAACACCACTACCACCAGCAAGAGTTTTTCCGATTTGGCTCATATTTTCCATAGGTGTTCTTATTATAATATTTTAAAAGAGGCGACAACTTTTTATTTTAATTAAAAGCACTTTTTTATTCATTTTTTATATGATCTTAAATCACCTGTAATGGGCAAGGGATGAAGGTAGGAGGAAATGGGGGCAAAACACTTAAAAACCGAGCACACGACACTAAAACGATGTCTCTCCGTGCTCTGTGGCGAATAATTACATTTACCGTAAACACTCCTCCAAAAAATTCGCTGCGTCGTGTTTGTTTATAGCTCACTCGCCAAGTCCGAGCGCACTCTTGCATCCACAAAAATACAAATTACACCGTGACGCTTCTATAAAGTTGCTTTCGTTGGTACCAGATATCAAAATAAGTACTTTGTTTAATATGGCAATTCCACGCCCTGGCTAGGAAGTTAGGTAAGGTTAGGTAGGTCGCTTTGGTTGGTTATATTACATCAGATTATACAGTACAGTATTAGCTTCTAGCAAATGTCGCCTCTTAAAATTCTATAATAACATCTGGAATAAATGAACAAAATCAAACTAGTCCCGGTAACCGAGGTCATATCTCCATAACGGCTCATTTATACCAGAAATGAAGGTTAGAATTGCTCGAAAAACATAATACACTAGGAAAAACCTAGTCGCTAAACGAATCTCGGGAATTTTATAATTTCAATCAGTAATTTTGACAATTCTAAGACAATTTTCTTCAATAACATTTCTGGAACAAAATACGTTTAAGCGAGATATTTAACAGTTCATGATGTATGTCTGTTCATGGAGGTACACACCCACGTTAGTTTAGGTTTGGTTAGGTTAGGTTAAATCCAAAACTTTTTCCGATGGGTTTTTGTGCATTTTGGACAGTTTTTACCTCGATTCTTATAGCTCTAGTTTCTGAGGAGCAGGGTGGTAAATTTTTACAAGTGGACAACCATTGACTTTTTGTTGAGCAATGTGTTTTTCCAATAGTTTAGACAATGTTAAAACACGTTTCTTCTACGACGTTTTCCTCAGAAATTACTTAAAATTACCTAATCTCCCTGCTATATTTAAGTCATTTGTGAGGGAAACGTCATTGAAGAAAAGTAGGTTAATATTGGTCCATTGGCTGTCCGCAGGTTCCCGCCGTGTTTACCCGAGGTTATACTCCTAACTCGTCTCCTCCTCGTAGGTTAGGTTAGGTAGGTTCTTTGGTATGAGAATTAGTTTTTGGTGTACTTTGGTGTTTGACTCAAATTTGACCTCTATTTTATTCTCCTACAAAACCCGAGGACAGCCAATGGAACAACACATTAATCAACAACTCCATGGTTGTCCACTTATATTAATTCACCAGGGGCTTATCTCAAAACTATTGATTTACTCCACAAATGAAGGTCAAATTCGTTCATTATATCAAAAACCACCGGAAAAACATACTTTAAACTTTGATGTCATATAGAGGCAGAAAGTGTACTTCACCACCTCCACCAGATGACCCAACACAATTAACTAAATTAATCATTAAATACACTCTGTCTAACCATAATAATTCTCCAATAACTTCTTAGTATTATTAATGTTAAATATCTGGTATAATATTATGAATAAATGTCTTACCGATGCCTCAGGACGATATTTTCGGGGCTGTCAGATCGAGGTACACTTGGTCCGTCCTCCATCTTCTTCCTCTGTCTTGTGGCTCCAGCTGGTGATGGATCCAAGAACCACCAGACGAGAAACTCTCCCCCTGTACCCTGTGATGAAGGTTTAGTAGTGCTGTTAACTCATAGATGGCGCTTACCTCCAACTCTCCCCCTGTACCCTGTGATGAAGGTTTAGTACTGCTGTTAACTCATAGATGGCGCTCACCTCCAACTCTCCCCCTGTACCCTGTGATGAAGGTTTAGTAGTGCTGTTAACTCATAGATGGCGCTCACCTCCAACTCTCCCCCTGTACCCCGTGATGAAGGTTTAGTAGTGCTGTTAACTCATAGATGGCGCTCACCTCCAACTCTCCCCCTGTACCCCGTGATGAAGGTTTAGTAGTGCTGTTAACTCATAGATGGCGCTCACCTCCATATCATTCCTTCTCTTATTACCTTTTTACGTTGAATATATAAAACAGCCATTTAAATAATCATTTATTACCATTTACCTAAAACTATGTTAGCATGTAATAGAGTCCGTAAAAATAAAATGATTTTTGGTGTGAAATAACTGAAAACAAAGCAAATTATAGATCTATTATATATATACAAACTTTGAAGTATTCTCACCACATTCATTAACAATACTGTACGTTAGTAAAGCCTATATGTTGGTGGTACTTATATACTGCCTGGAATACTTAAGTACTGCTGGTTTACTTAAAGGGTGAAACTTTTATTATTTAGAATCAGTGAGAAGTTGAACCATTTTTATTGCTTACACTGTTAAAGAGGCCAATGAATTCTATAGTAGATTTAGGAATGTATAGAAGGAACCCAGCCAGATATTTATTGAATTAGTTTATTTTATTACCATGCTTAAAGACTTTTCATTTTCATTTTTCATTTTGAAGTTTTGATAAATATAGCATGACGAATTCCACGACTTTCTATGGGCGGCCGGAAACAGACACCACCACAGTTAAGCCTCTAATGGTTGTTACGGCTGTTTAACTCCCGGTAAAACCACATTCATTTATCTCTATAGTGAAAAATTAACAAGTTATAAATAGAAAAATATTAAATTAACAATAGAAAGGCGATAAATAGTCAAGACATAGTGAAGTTTTATGGAACAATTATCGACAAATGAAATGTCTTAAACACTTGTAATGAGGTGGTTAGCCTAGTTAAGATTTTCCCGCCTAAATCACCAGTATCTCCCCCCCCCCCCTCTCCCACCACTGCCGTCCTTAAATACTCTGAAAGCTGTGACGGGAGGTCAGTACTGATCATAACATCAAAGGAAGTAATGCTACTGGTTGTATGGATATACATTTTTTTTTTTTTTTCAAATTTAAAGTATTTTTCTTTTGAGTAAAATTTCTCGTGTTGGTTAAAAATAAGTTTTGTTTAACTATTTATATTTGATATAACTTGGTTATATATTAGTGTATTTAGTGTATTATTTCTGTGTGATTGAGTTTGATACAAAGTATACTTTTATATTTAATCTTTGATTACTTGTTTGTTCCAGATATCCGAGATCTACGTGGAGTAACTACTGGCAATGTTTCAGTGGTGGGATGAATTGAGTTTCGCTCTCGATGAAAGTGGACTGGAGTGGACGTTTCCCCTACAACTGCGTAGCCACAGCCACCACCTGCTACCGCCTTCCCTAGCAACCAACCAGATGTTACTGTAACTTGGCAACAAAACTAGTGACCAGCGACTTCAAGTGTTTTCCCAACATGACTCCTAGCGGCTACTGGGTATATAAGCTCTGTCTCTCCATTGAGATTCATTTTGACCATTCTTCTACAACAAGCAACACCTCCTTCCCCGCCGCTGCCTGGTGGCCCTCGCCTCTCCTCCACTTGCCTGGCGGTCCTCGCTCCCGCCAGCGAGCATGGTGACCCACCAGCTGTCCTTCTCTGAGCTTCCTCACCAACCAGCTCTCATTCTGCCCATCTTCCTGAACAAGCAACACATCCTCCAGCAAGCTCCACGCTGTCGGCATTCATTCAACCAGGAGGCCAGCAACAGGCAACTTCTTCTCTAACGAAGCTCCTGCACATCTACCTCCTACAACACGCCACTCGCCGAACGTCTCTACTGAGCAGCTCCTCACCATACGGCACCTCCAGCACCAGACTGTCCATCATATAACTTATATTATACAAGAAAACCACATTAGAGTTTCCATCCTGAGTGTTAGACAACATTATATCTCGATACCCCGACAGGACCAATCCAGCTTCACCCACGGCACAGTGACCTACCTTAGTTACGTGGGCACCTAAGGACGAACCCGGCTGTAGTGGGGATGATTTAGAGGAGCGCAAACTGCTGTATTTATTTATTTAACTGCAGATATGATCAACATACTTCTACAGTAAACTTGATTTTAACTTTAAAACCCCGTTTTTTAGTTCCTTTAATAACGGTTTTCTGGGGCATTTTAGACCAATTTAAGACTATTAACTTGTATACAATTTACCCGTTTAAATAACTTAAGTTTACATAAGATCGGGGGGACTACTATTGTTCTTGCTAGATGATCCTTAATTCGGCTACAAGACGCCACCCGACCATCTAGCACAATACATTTACTTGGTAGTGTAGTGGATTTCTCCCCTACAAACGCTGTTTGTCGCCGAGTAGCCGACCCCACCAATACCCCAGTGTATGCCTCGTGGTCGAGGTCAACCAGCGCTGCCATACATCACGGAGCGGGGGTCAACTACTAAGCCACGCCTACCCCTGCAATTTAAGACCTGACCTCGTGGTGACCTGTCCTCGCGAATATGTAATGTTTGCTGATGATATTACTCAAATCGTATCATGCCCAGGAAAATCAACCCAATTTATGGCTCTCTACACGGTAAGAGCGATAAAAAAATATAAATGATTTTGAGAGAAAATGGAAAATCAGGACAAATAAGAACAAATTCAAGATAACAATAGCCAAGATCAAAACAAGTCCAGGAAAGACCATTTCAGGGGCTGTCGCACCTCTAGGTGCCCTGCCAGACGAAGTGACTCTCCCAGGGACAGTAGCAACCCAAAGGACCTCCCAGGGACAGTAGCAACCCAAAGGACCTCCCAGGGATGGTGATTCCCCAGGGATGCAGCAATGGGTGGCACCCTGCAGACCCTCTCAAGGGGGCGGTGGCGCCCCAGGGGCCCTCCCAGGAGCCGTGGTGCCTCCACGGGCCTGCCAAGGGGCGGAGACCCCTCGGCCTCCCAGGGACATCGGCACCCCCAGAGAGACCTGTCAGGGTGGTGGCCCTACCAGGGGCAGTGGCACCCCCAGGGGACCTCCCAGGAGCGGTGGCGTCCCCGGGTCCCTCCGAAGAAGGTGTGCCCCCAGGGGCCTTCCCAGGGACAGCAGCGGCGTATCCCCAGGGGCCCCTCTCAGAGGCGGCGGCATCCCCAAGGGCCCGTCCAGGGGCGGTGGCTCCTGCAAGGGCCCTGCCAGGGGCAGTGGCACCAACAGGGGCCTTTCCAGGGTCGTTAATGCCCCCAGGGGCCCTGCCAGGGTCTGTGGTGTCAACAGGGTCCCTGCCAGGGGTGCCACCATCCCCAGTGGCAGGTGCAACCGCGCCTGGAGGGGTTCTCCTTGGGAGCAGTAGCGCCCCCAGGGTGAGAAAGTTAAGCCTAAGGCCTTATCAGTGAACTAGAAGTAAGTGTACGGTACTTTGTGTACATTACTTGTTGAAATTAATTTTGATTACAAAACATGTATTTCTTTCATGAAAATTGGATACATTGGTGTTGTACAGTACTTGTTTTTTGTTTAAAATGGCGGTCTTTTTGGACAAATTTGCTCTAAGGTGGACAACCTATTATTCCGGACACCCCTTCCCCTCAATTAGTCTGCCTTAGCGAGGTTTTGCTGTACTGTATATAGAAAAAAATAGTTTTGCGTTATGGAATTTCGCGTTACGGAAAGGTTTTCAGGAACGGAACCCTTCTGTAATCTGGGGAATGCTTATATATTAATGGTGCTATGATTGAGGGAGTGAATGGAAAAGTCAGTTTTTTGACGGAGAATCAAAAATGGCGAAAATATTGCCCATTATAATATCCCCTTAAGTTGGATATGATAAAGCCATTCAAGCACAACTCGTTCACTCCTCAATGTAAGATAAACAAATTTATAGGTTAGAGGTTATAGGGAAAGGTTAAATCTTTTTAATACTTTTGGGTTTAGAGAATTGCTCTCTGGCAAGGTGTTCAGGGTTTGGCCTGTTACTCACTTCACCACACTTGACTGCACCATACAAGAGATAATTGTATGTAATGAGTTATTCAAGCTTGATATTTGAGAAAAAAGGGTGAGATTTGCTGCATTAGCATTGAAAATAAATTATCTACAAACAGTTTCATATAAGTAATCACGATTATATAATTAAATTTCTAAGTTAGCATGAGTATAACAAATTCTAGTGCATGGCTGCCACTCAAGCTCTCAAATGCAAATATTCCCCCCTCAAAGTTTCTATATTTTTTACTTAAATTACACATAATGTGTTTATAAATACTTATTATTTTCGATATTCATATGATATAATAATTGTAATGGGGGGGGTTTTTAAGGTGGGAGATATAGATAGAATATTTAGTTGTAGGATGTACAGAGAGGAAGGTTGGTAGCGCGGCCGGTTCATTACCTAGCCTTATATTACGTTCTTCGGGGACATCTTCTCAAACGCCCGCTCTAAATGGTACAGCTATTTAGTATTCGCTCAATGACACACACATTAATAGAGCATTATATCGAAGTTACTAGAACATTATATTTACGTTATTAGACACTGACTCTCGGACATAAACATAAAATGAATACACTTCCCACTGTAAGTAACTCACCCTATGGATAGCTCTGACAATGACTCACGTGACCTGAGGGAGGCCCAGCAGTTGCCGTTGAAGAGAGTGCTGGACTCTGGGTGTTTGGGAGGGAAGTCGCCCTCAACTAGTGATGAGCGTGACTCCGTCTTCCGTCGATAGTGTTGTGGAAGTCATCTCAATGGAATCTGAATCAGGAATCTCCGGTGGAAGGGGCTGCTGGGCCTATATATTGGCGGTCACCAGCCGGCAGGTGACCTCTCCCAATTAACACTAAGCTGGGTGTGTCTTGGCAAGGTATGGTTGTAGGTCATATCACCCGGTTAACTCAAGTACTCTGTGGCTGGGGTCAGGTCTCCTGGGTCACTGTTGGGTGTGTCAACTTATAATAATAATAATAATAATAATAATAATAATAATAATTAACGGTTTATTGAAAAAGTTATGCAGCCCGAAGGCTGAAAATATACATTGGACATAAATGATTTATTACATACATTGGTGATCTAACAAAAGCCTTCATTAGAGAAAGGTAAAGGAACATACAGTGAACATTCAGATTAATGTAGGTGTTGAACAGCAAACACGTAGTGTAGTAACTCTCTCCCAGATGGTGTTAGGAGGGACCTGATGGTGTGACCTCCCTCCAGATGGTGTTAAGGTGTAGCCTCACGTGGTGTAGTAACCTCACAGATGGTGTTATGAGGGGCATCACGTGGTGTACGAATTCCCTCACAGATGGTGTTATGAGGGACCTGACGTGGTGTAGTAATTCCCTCACAGATGGTGTTATGAGGGGTCACGTGGTGTAGTAATTCCCTCACAGATGGTGTTATGAGGGGTGTAGTAATTCCTCACAGATGGTGTTATGACGTGGTGTAGTAATTCCCTCACAGATGGTGTTATGAGGGACCTCACGTGGTGTAGTAATTCCCTCACAGATGGTGTTATGAGGGACTTGACGTGGTGTAGTAATTCCCTCACAGATGGTGTTATATGAGTGAGGTGTGGCCCCAGGCCTTCCTATCGTAGACGGATTAACTTGTGGGTGTACCCCTGCTCATCTACTTACTGTTATATGTGTTGCATTTCTGTGGGATGTAAGCTGTGGTCTGATAAACAATCATTACACCTCCCGCCAAGACCAAAGCTTCCATACCAGAGAACTGATGACACATATACACAGTAATATCATGTGCAGTATCTAAAATAGTCCCTGAGGTGATAGTACAATCTCACATTTACAAACAATAACCTTATAGATGTATGTTTTTATACTGGCTTCGTTTAATATGACAAAGCTTACTATACCTCCCGCTAAGATCAAAGCTTCTATGCCAGGAGAAAAAAACACATACACAGTAAGTGAACATAGAATGAGCTTAACTGAGTTAAAGATCCTACATATCTAGCATAGTATCCGAGACAAACTTGCAAATCACACTCTACAAACAATAACAGGTGTTACGTGGCCTTGTAGGCCCATGTCAAAATAATAATTCGTCCCAATCAGTAATATGGCTACAACATTGCATTTGGTAGTGCAAAACATTGATCAAATGAACTCAAAGAAAAAGTGACTAATCTTTCTTAAATAAAAAAACATTCTATGTAGTAAATGTTAACAGAAATCAGAGAATGAAACACTTCAAAATACACAAAAATGTGCCTTCTTTCACCTGCCAGGGTGTTCTCTCTTCACATAGCACGTCTTTCTTTCTTCAATACCCAAAATTACAACTTGGGGAAGTGATGGTAGTTAAGTGTAGAACCTGCCATGCTGCCTCCTCGTGTACCAAAAGCTTAGTATGCAGTGAGTTGTATCCACACTGTCCCTAATGGGCAGTCATGCCTGTGGGACTGCTATTTCAATAAATTTAGATTTACAGTACAGTATATATAGCTCTCACCAACACCAGGCTACATCTTCACTATATTCTACAGTATCATACTGAAAATTATAATTTACTTTGCCAGATCTTGTAAATCTGAAAGGTTACAGATACAAAATTATATCCTAAAAATTTTATTTCAGTTTATTTACAGTACTGTAATAAGAAATGTACAGGTGATTCAACACTTACTTTTTCATTTCTCTAAACTTTTACGTGATATCTTCTCAGAGTATTTCCTTCACCATGGCAGCTGTATGATCAACACCACAACTAACTTTTATTACTTGTCCACCAATAGAGACCTGCAAAACCAAAACAGTGTTAAAAAAAATTCATTTGCAAGCTATCAAGTTTGTTTTGATGGTTAACAATAAAAGAATAAATCTTCCTTGGTTTAGGAACCTTAAAAATAATAAAATATATAATAGTATCAGAATGTGCCAAAAATTTTTAAAATTCTTATCATAGGTCATAAACATAAAGGCAATTAATCATTATGTGTGTAGAAGCAAGCACTGAGAGTGAAGGGGGGGGAGACGTACAGCTGGCGTTTCCTCACTCACCATCTCCTGCTAAATGGTAATGCAGTATTTTATTTTGTTTTTTATTCCTCACATTTACTGGTACAGTATATATTTTATTTACAAAGAATACGTTCTTCCACACGCATACCTCCCACACATCCAGCTCTCAACATGGTTCAGGCAATCACCCAGCTCGGCCAACTCACAGACAGATGGAAGTACTGTATCTCCCTCAGCCATCAGCTTGTACCCTAATTGTGTCTTCTTTTTTCTCCTGAGCTAAGAGCATAAAGTTGAATGCGTGTAAGATGCAACACGAGTGTATATTGAGAATTTTTACGGAGTTGAAATTTTAATGAATAATTTAAACAAATTTTACACAGCATTATGGAAAATTTTAAAAAGAAATTGGAAACTTTTATGGGAAATCTACTCCATTTTGGGGAGAATTTTGACCATTTTGGGGGAGAATTTTAGAAATAGCGATTTTTATAGAGGATTCTAGACATTTTAATGGAGAATTTGGAAATTTTAATGGAAAATTATGGAAATATTTATGGAGAATATTGGAAAATTTTACAAAGACTTTTGTAAATATTTACGGAGTGTTGGAAATATTTACAAATTTTTTTTAGAAATTTTAAAGGAGAATTTGGATAATTTTTAAGGAGAAATTTTGACATTTTTATGGAGTATATTGGAATTTTTTACAGAGAACTGATAATTGAGCAGAATTTTGGAGAGCTTTGGCCATTTTTATGGATAATTTTGGTCATGGTTGTTAAACATGGATACAAGTATTACATTAAAACTGGAAAGTACAGTGTGGTAGACATGAATGATCGAGGTATACTACTGACTGACAGTGGTCAATATCACTGATAATGTTACATTAAAGCAGTGCGTGCATGTCTCCGACATTGCCACATATCCATGTTAGCCAAAACTGCCTGGTACTGTACTGAACTTTTGGCCAGAACTCTACCTAATAGTAAATTTAAATTTTGTTTATTACAATTTTAAAGGCATTTTCTAAATCTTAGGTAAAACAGACTAACATTGAACAGTTGGTTTGCGCCTCAATCCAGTTTGAGTCAAACTAGCATGTGGTAAAGGTGTAACAGAGTTCCTCGGTCAACACCTCACAACATGTACACTAAGACTCTCAATAACTTGAGAGCACACTAGCAAAACTTTGAGGTAACAAATATGCATCATTTATCAGGGTGCACAGTTTAGAAGGGAAAACCATAACTACATTCTAAAAGATGGACAAATTCTTATAAAATTCCTTTTTTTTACCTTTAACTGTGGGGTTTGCAGGTTAAATATTGTATTTTATGGCATACAGGTATTAGATGCACGGCCATTTAAGACGTACCCCCCATTTTAGCAGGGAGTATTTAGGTAAAAACTTTTGTGTGTATTTCCTCCTGTATCCATAGTTTTCTTAAAACAATATACTGTATACAGTACCAGTAAATGCGAAGAATAAATAAAAAAATACCAATAAATAAGTTACAACAAAAAATACTCTGTTGCCAAACCAGTAAATAAAAGCCAATGAAAGTTTAACACAGTTGCCACTTGCATATACAGTACTGTACATCTGTACTCCGTTTACCATAGTAACGGTGACGCTACATCCACCAATTCCCTAGCAATGCTCCCCCCTCCCCCCCACCAGCTGTCCTCTCACTCCCCCACTCAGCCAGCTAACTCCTCTGCAAAGAAATGTATATTCCTTTTATGTTTTTGCCCTTAGGACAATTATTTCTTTTACTTTTTTCACAATATATACAGTATGTAGGATGGTGTGTGTGTGTCTATGTATGACAGTAAAAATAAATGAAGAAAGTCACATATATCTACCACAAAATAGGAGTTGAAAAATAACAGCTTAGCCCAGTAGCTTGGTTACATAGACGAGTCTAACCTGGCCACAATGCCGCCCGCGATGTTAACAGATGTAAATGTGAAAAGAAAGTTTTCTGTAAATCTTCATAAGTATCAGGTATTTGTAGATTGAAAAATAAATGTTGCAGGTATGGCATTAATAGATTGTAATGCTTGGAAGAGTTCATAAATGGTTACTGCTTAGTTACCTTTGAAGAGTTGGGTGTTTGCCGTACAGACTTTAATCGTCTCGGGTTATTGCCATTAGTAGAGTAGTTGTAGATCGACCTTTTATATTTGCAATAATTATTTTTTAACTAATTAAAATTAATAATGATGTGTTTAAGTAAGCAATAATATTTTTTAATTCTGGAGTTGGGTCAGGTAGAATTTAGTCTACTGGAGACAGCAACGTGGGGGGGGGGGGGATTCATTACCTTGCGGGAGACCACAACTTCACACATAGGACGCAGGCTAATATTTTACCCATTTTTCAGACAAAAAAGTGCATCTTATATGCCATGAAATACAGTAGGCGTCATACGTCTAGAGTGTTTAGTTATCTGGTAAAAGCAGGCTGAAATTCAGTCTCTTTACAAAATATGGCAACTACCTTTGGTGGCATGTCAGCTGCCACATCAAACATGAAATAACTGGAATGGATGATAAGAAATTGTTTGCCAATGTCAAGGTTGCAATAGATCCTTTATCAGGCAAAGACACATATTCTTTGAGGAAAAATCATGTACAGTCTCTCCTCGATTTACGACGGGGCTCCGTCCCAACGACCAGGTCGTAAGTCGAATTGGTCATAAGTCGAAAAGGCGAAAATAATACATAGAAATTCTAAAATGGGTGTCTCTTTTTCTTCTCAGCACCACGAGAACTCTCACTTTTACGCTTGCCAGCCATTTTAAAGGGAATTACACACGAAAATTTTGTCAGTACACAGCGCGATCACTAACGTCAGGACTCGAAAATACGTAATGTGAAAAATATTTTATACGACCATGGCCGTCGTATGTCCGGGTTGTCGTAAGTCGAATGTGTCGTAAGTCGAGGAGACTGTACTGTAACTGCAAGCAGACTCACGACACAATAAAATGTGCTAAAAATAAACAAACTTCATTGATTAATTCATGAAGTGTCTTTTTCATTAAAATTTCATGATACAGTACATTTTATATTGTACAGAAAGTAAAATGATACTTTACATGAATGGAATCAGGTCAAATGATATATAACACTAATTTACACTCATACATAGTAGAAGGAAAAGTTTTTGAGATGAAAATGTTATACCCCTTACCCTTAGTGGAAAATACTGGTCCTTTGTGTGGCCGAGACCTAGGCAGCCTCCAGGGTTCTTACCCCAAGTGAATAAAGACCCATTACTGTTTACTGCTGCCAAGTGGTTGATCCCACAAGTAATGCTCACCACCTGAAATATTTTATTAATTAGCACACACTATTACAGCAAGATATTCTGATGAAAGAAAACAATAAATACAATAAACCTGATTCACATGAATTTCATCCATGTGATACCTATACTGTACACCATGTCACATACTTTTACACTAAATAGTTGTACAGTATTTGGAATAAAAGTCCTCTACTCTACATAAATACAAGTTAGTACTGGAATATTAGCAGTAAGCAAACAGTACATGAGGGATTTTTTTTCCATGAGCAAACGTTGTGAATTTGAACTAAGTGATCGATGGGAAGTGAAGAAACTGACACTCGTTAAACCGACGCCATACACTTGTAGATGTAGGCACTACTAAGAATAAGGGGGCACCTGACACCTTCCCCCGACCAAGCACCCCTCCAAGAGCCCACTTGTATACCCCCACCACCTCTACCGTTTCTGGAACAGATAAGTCACTACTGTATAATATGTATAGTTCAGGGAAGACAGTTTCCCTCTCCATAGAAAGACAACAAGTCAAGTAACAGGCACCACCTAAGCTAAAGCAATCATAACACCCACAGCAACATTCCCAAGCATTAGACAACATTGCCAAATTTAGATTGTACCAGCAAAAGATAGTTAAAGTATTACAAAACAAAATACATTTAATAAATAGATACAAAAATTACTCGAAGCACCTGTGGTTCCTGCAAGGGGCCCTCAAGCAACATAACCAAGGTCCTTACATGCCAAAGCTACAAGATTGATTACCAAAAACGATAAGGGGAAAGATGAAATAATTTACAAGAAATCATGGCCAAATCATCACCTGCAGTGGATCAGATTGACACAGTAATGTAACAATTAAGGTTAATGTAACAAAATTTTTAAGACAAGACGCTAGAACAATAAGAGATAAATAAATACTAAGACAACCTCATTATAAAGAACCTGGAGATGAAGGAGGGAGAGATAGACGAACATTCCGTCAGACTAGGAAATGTAGTCGACTTCTTAGAGGAGGTACACATCACAAATGTGGAAAGACTTAAAACATGCATAGTGCTGTCAGCGAGGATCACCATCTCTAAAGGAGGGATACCTTAAAGAAGGCACAGAACATCAAGCGAGCAACAGAGTATAGTAGTGTGTATATACAGTAACCCCTGACCTAACAATTTGCCAACCAAAAATGGCAAAGAGCTCAGGGACAAACTGAAAGAGCCAATAGGGTTAAGTGGCAAACTAACTGTAAATAATGTTAACATAGTGCATTATGTAGCTTTAAGTACTGTACTGTAATACTACTAACCCAGAGAGAACAAATTCTCTGGACCTCAAAGTCTTCAAAAAGGACAGTACGTACTTAAAACCAGGCCAATCAAGTATTGGTACACGAATGATAGAAGTCTAGTTAATAAGACTGTTGCATTGGGCACATATGTGACACACAACAACTGGAATTAGCAGGGCCACAAGAGGTGGTGGTGTACTGCTGTATGTCAAGGAGCACCTGACAGCAGCCATTAATGACAAGCTAAACAAAATGGGGTCATCCAAGTTTATTTGGTGCAATTTGATAACTCAAAACAAAAGCAAGCTGACAATAGGTGTGTGCTATAGGGCTGCCTCAACCTTGGAAGAGGAAGTCACAGATTTCATAGTCATCCAGACAGCATCCAGAGTATAAGCCCTCGTTATGGGAGATTTTAATCACAAGACAATAGACTGGGTGAACCTTGCTGTACAAGCCAAGGGAGAAGAATACCTTGATCTCATTCAGGAATCATTCCTCACACAACATTTGTCGAAATACACAATGGAGAACAACATTCTACAGTTAGTCTTGATAACTGAGGAGGCTATGGTGGAAGAGGTCCACGTCGGGAGAGACTAACTCTAACAAGCGACCACAACCTACTAAGACGGAATACAATCTTTGATAATTGAGAGAAATTAGTTGAAGAGGAATACTATGACTAAGTAATTCTCTTCTTCAAAATCTCATAAAAATTTCCCAATAAAATACAGTAACAGTTCCCATTTCTAGTCAAATCCCATTAACTAAGATATATTAAACTCATGCACAGTTAGAGATAAATTACCTTAGCATCTGGTGTAATTTCATTTCGCCCAAACAATGTTAAAGGTAATTGTGTAGGAATCTTTGAATATGTTACATCTGGTCCTTTGCCAATAGGCCCAAAACCCCAACTATACACATGGCCATCCTCTGAAATGGAAAATGGTGGACTGATCCTGAAATCCCACTTTATATCCGAATCAGGATCAAATGTTTCCATAATAAGCCGCCCCCCCCCCCAAAAAAAAAATCTAGGGTGTTGAATTCCTAGACCCGAGGGTTATGACTTGTGTGGGGAAAAAAATATAAATCCACTTTATACTGTACTACACTTTAAAAGCATAGCTCTCAGCATAAAGGTAACCCTAAAGGGAGAAGGAAGGGATTTTGACATGCTCAATTTCACAAGCAAAGAGCCTAAAGCTGGGGATTCAACCCCCTAGATCTGTTGGCTATTTAGAGTTGCTTTATCCCAATATACAGGTTGTACCTCTCTAGTCAGGCAACCTCGGGATCTGACCGGTGCCGGACTGTGGAAATTTCCGGACCATGGAAATTCACCCTTTTCCTGGATAGATAGTGACTTGTGCTTACGCTTGGAAGCACTAGCACCACTTTCACTGCTTCATAGTCTCTTTGAAAACATGTTGAAGGGTTAAATGTTGTACAGTAGGTTCTCAAATTCCGCGAGTTTTTAATACGACGTTTCTCATTTGGACACAAAAAAAACACACAATTTAAAATTTCAACGGCAGAAACTCGAATTTCGATGGGTTTGAGCGGCCCGCCAACGTTCAGACAACGTGCATAATCGTGTAAACAGCGTCATTTCTCTTATGTTCAAAAGACTCATTATTGTTTATTACTGAATGTATTTTTGATTGAATTAATGTTTATGTGTGGAAAATGAACAATACAATTCATTAATAATACATAGAATATTAAAACACATGAGGAGACGAGACAGCATTGTTTTTGTTGTTTACAAAACCAGTGACTGTTGGTTCTACATTTAAAACTGAAGAAAATAAAACCCTGGTTATAGCTGTAGTAAAATTAATGTAAAAAATTAATATGGTTGTTTTAAGTAATGTTATTTAATGTTAATACCCGTAAATGGAACAATAAAAGTAGCTAACCATTAATGGTAAAGAAAAAAGTGAGACTGCGCATATGTAAGTGCGCACATGTGAAAACATCTCATCATTACTCTACATAAGAATATGAAAGCAACACTTATTTACTGTTCATATATATTTTAATTCATGTTTCTGAATTTAAAACATAAATTCTACCCACCAGTAGTGGTAAAATTGAAAACATAAGGACAGCCAATGTTGTTGTGTGTGTTTTTACTCCGATGACAAAGTTGCCAAGTCATTAGGTTCAACTCTAGCTGAAGCTGTAGAACATAAAAACTTTTTCTGTGTTGTTTTTAGTTTTTATTTAACTTTATCTGTGTTATTTTCGTTGGTTTATTAGGATGTTGGTTTATTACAGGTATTAATTCGCCAAAAAAGTAGGGTAAATAAGGCAAAATTTAGCCAAACATGAAAAGTACCAGACTCAAATAAATTTTCTCCATGGGCAAACTAAAATCGTTCTGGACCATGGGAGTTTCCGGACCACAGAATGCCAGACTAGAGAGGTACAACCTGTAGTACTTTTATATGTTTATATACAGTACTGTACTGTACTGTAAAGTAGTAAGTACAGTAATGTAATTAATTATTTTCAAACATAGGTATTGAATATATACTGTAATTATAACTAATGTATTCCTGAGCACACATTTTTCTTATATGATCACATCTAATTGTTGACAAGATTTTTGCAATTACTGTAAAGTAAAACTTGAAAAATTGGGCAGAATATGGAATGTTTACATCACAGTACAACAACACACTAATTATATATGTGACTTAAAGCAACAGCAAGATGCTTATAAGAACAGCTGAGAGGCAACTTACCATCAAGAAGCAAACACATGGTTCCTGCAGACGCCACATCTAAAACTTTCTTTACACCAGGAAAATTAAGTTTCTTTGCCACGTGAATTTGCATATCATCTGTCGCTGAATTTAGCTGGTGATATTCAGAATTTCCCCAGCCAAAAACTTCACCTTTTTCTGAAAGTTTTAACACATCTTCAGCTAAAAACTATGAGATATACTGATAAATGTCAATTATTTTATCTGATCCTTGTGTGTAAAAATTATATAACTACAAAAATAGTTTAAGTACAGTACACTAAACCCTCAATATATTTGAGGGTGAAAAATCTTGGGTATGTCTAATTATAGTAAGCAGGAGATGAGTGCCTGGAACTGAAAGACAAGTCACCTCCTGTTAACCCCCTCGCATAAACAGTATACGTGGCGCATATGTGAGTCACAAACCTTTTTGTCCAATTTGATCAGTGACTCAGAAATGCATTATAGAATTGATTAATTGATTATAGTAATAACATCCCTGGCGATGCAACAGCCTAGGTCATATGCCGCCAAATTAACCTAAAAGCTTAGAAGGCTAAAAACAAATACAGTACATTAATGCAAGGCGAAAACATAAACACAGGTACCATAGAACTTTCATAAAAACCTTTTAAATGTTAACAGATAAAACTCAAAACTTGTGTAGAAGGCCAGCTTCCTTCACAAAGGATAGGACATCCCATTCCCCCCTAGCACCAAAGACAGATGCCCCCCCCCCCCTTAATACAAACCCTGTAAATCATAACTTACCATTTAAAGCTAAAGCACAATCAGCTCTACAGGACACTTTAACAATATTTTCCCCAACAATATCTCCTACGACAGGACCAACATCAGGTTCATTATCGTAGTGCCCTCTGCCTGTCTGGCCATCTGCTCCCCAGCCACATGAGTACACCACACCTTTATCACTTAGAAAGAAGCTGCAAAGAAGAAAAATCATTGTCAGGACACAGACTATTCCAAAATATGATGGCTTTTGCTTGGCACTGACTATATCACTGCACAGTGATTGAATAATTAATTGATTGATTGATTGATTGTAGTAATTACATCCCTGGCATTGAGTCGATCAATCAATCCCTGGCAGCGCAACAGCTCAGGTCATATGTCGCCGAATTAAACTAAAAGCTTAGAAGGCTAAAAAAAATAATTCAAGGCAAAAAATATATATAATAAATAGCATAGAAATTTCATAAAAACATTTAAACAGGCAGCTTGAGCTCTGGTGTCAGGGTCAGCGACCCTGCATAGGCAGTTGCTCGGTGATCCTCTCTTACCGAAGTAGGCTGACACACCCGAGGATGCCACCGTGAACACTCCATGAGGGACTGGAGACGGAAAGGAAGAATGTGGTCAACAGCATCGGCACAGCACTTCAGAGGACCAGAGACCGCTATACGAAGGTGTACGACCCCCCCCCCCCTTCTCGCCCTACGGTCAGCCAGTTAAGACACGGCAATACGGGTGATAGCGAGTTCCCCCACTGGGAGACTGGAGGCAGCTGCTGAGCTGCCCCTCCAGGCTCAGTAGACGAACACAGGACCCTCAAGGGTTCCTGAGGTACCTTTGCCAATGCCCTTCTTGGAGAGATCTTCTACCCCCTGCCAGCCACTCTGCTCTGGCTTCCCGATGTCGGCCGTAAGTTGGACCCCCTTCTCGTGGTATGACCTGGACACCTCCTTGGTGACTGAAAGTCCAACAAACCCTTCCTACACTCTTTATCCTTTCTCTTCCCCCCCCACCTCGTGTCGTGTTGTGGCGTCAGCTTGAGTTCTACCTCAGACTGTCCAGCCCAACACAGGCGTGCATGTACCGTATATTACGGCCTTTAAGTCGACATTTGAAGCTCCAATTTTTGTGTTCAAAACTAGGGGTCATCTTATACAACAGTTATAAAATGTCAATCTCTAAGTGCGCTCCGCCACTAGCATCAGATTATTACTTTACCTTACTGGTAGGTCTCAGTCACTTAATTTCCAGCACTCACAAACAAGTTTTACCTAACTTTATCATTTTCCTAAAAGGGTGACTGTTACTGAACTCTGCCTAAGGTCAGTGTTTACACTAGTCACACCGACACCTTTCAAAACATTAAAATATCTCTCGTTGTTAACTACAGTTTCTTACAAACAAATGTTATTAGGGCAGTTACTTGTAATATTTGTTGATAAATTGTTTAAAAATGCAGTTACAGTATAATCATGTAATGCACCTGGATTTTATAAATGTTTACATACAATGTGCTGTAAAGTTGTGAACAAGGCAGGCGCCTGCAAACAGTTGGCTAGCCTGTGGCAGTTAGGGCAGTGTTGCCAACACTTGTTTGTGAATGTCACTAGATTCATCCCTAAAGTTGCTACAAATTTGCTAAATACATAAAAAATCAGGAGAAATACTGATACATGTTAGACATTATCTAAAAAGGAAACAATTGTTAACAATAACTTGGCTAAATGCCAAAAACTGTCACGAGTGACAAGAGTCTGTGTGATTGTTGCCATATACACTACTGCTAGTACAGCACTACCATATACTGTCAATATAGTTTGAAAACTGTTTTACTTGTCAATACTGTATATTAATAATAAACTTTCAGTACTAGTAAATTGTCATTATTCAACTAGTGTACTGTATATCTTAAATATTTTTACACTTATAGGAACTGTATTGTTGAGATCAGTTTACACCACATTCATGTGCCCAAGTAACGTTTGTTTGTAAGAAAGCTGTAGTTAACACCAAAAGGTATTTTAACATTTTGAAAATGCTCATGAGTGCTGTTGAAAAGTAAATGTTGGCAAGTTTAGCTAACACCGAAGACGTAGCTTTCAAATTGCAGTTTAGGGGATCAACGCCAGGTATAGGCCTAGATAAACAATTTCAGATAAAATAATTAAGGTCATCTTATACGCCAGGTCTACTTATAGGCCGCAATATACGGTATGTTGTTCGCGACAGTGACAGCACTGAGCCCCATAACAACGGTAAGGTGGATCTCCACTTCTCTGAGGCACTACACAGGGAGTAAAGTGTCAAAAGATTATAATATAAGTTGCAGGGAATTCAGCTTGATTAGAGGAGGAAATAAGGTGCATGATGAAGACTGGAAGCACAATACAAGATCACAGGATGTCTTGAAAATGGGATATGGTTGTAAGAACCAGATATCATCATGAAAGCGAATGCTAAAGAATTAAGATACTACCATACTCAGGAAAAAGGCCATGACATGACGGTAAAGTGTCATACAACAGTAGTTACCAAGATACTAGAGGATCAGCTACAGGGGCTACATTTAGTAGCAATCTCATTAACTAGTTGGAATGCAAAGCCAAAAACACAAAATTCTTCAGCAGCTAAAATTTATTTTACAACTTATTTTTATCTATGTCTCTAGTCAGTAAATACTAAATGCTCTTACTTTAGTTTTTATCGACCTACCTAGTATCTTGTCCACATTCAATGTGACATATTGTAATATCATCAAGAGCTTTGATCCTATGATAAGCTGCTTTTCTGCCATAATCTTCATCTGGTAAGATACTCCTGCCACATTGCCCATAAGCATTGTTTCCCACTGTCCACACACCTCCTTTATCTGTCAACATTACAGTATGAGCTCTTCCAGAGGATACCTGGTAGGAAGAAATGTACATCAGAATTTTAACTGACAACTGTTAAGGGTTTTAACACACACATACCCTCTCCTGGTTCATGGGTATGTAGCTGGCAACTCCACTTTCTTGAAATTGGTTACTAAAAGAAGGTAGAACAAATAAACACAGGGTGTTTGAATGTGTGTAGATACTGTATAATAAGAGATGAATTATGACCTGGTTTTATGTAAAACAAATCTTAAAAGTAAACCAAAAGTGAACTGCAAACTGGTACAGGAAGGAAATTTAAGTTTCTGAAAACCTAAGAGCAAAAGAAAAGGTGGTAATTTTACTAAGTGATGATATGTGGAATTGTTTGACAATAAGCAGCAGGGAGTAAACCATTGGTTATCATAGGTGTATAATATGGACACGAAGTATATTGTTTCTCACTTCTAATCTTTTTACCTTTTTGCATTTCTTTATGGTTCTTTATTATTATTATTATTATTATTATTATTATTATTATTATTATTATTATTATTATTATTATTATTATTATTTTTTACCTTTTATGCATGTTCTGTTATGTTATAGTTCTTAGGTGCAGATTATTATTTTAGTTAGCCTTAGTCTAAATAAATGTTACATTCATATCTAATAATGAAATCATACAGTAAATTAACATTATGAAAAAATATGAATGTAACTTGATTGATTTTGAGGTTGATATTAGCTTCTCTTCAAGTGTTATATCCTTTCTTTTACGATAATCACCGGGAATTCTATCATCAGAATGGAGATATTCTTCTTTACCATTCACAGTTAATACCACAAAATTGGAGAAATAGTAAGCAAAAATATAGCAAACAATTATACAAATATTGTTCCGAATTCATAAATCGCGTTAGAGCAAATATATTATAGCAGAACTCATTATTATTATTACATTTTCGCCCCCCAGGCCTCGATGTGGGTCAGTGACCTGTGCCCGAGTGGGCTAATCCCCTTAAAAGAAAGAAAAAACTGCAGGCAAATTTTCACAGAAGAGCAAGTACAGTACCTATACATATTATTTTCCTTACCTTAATAACTTTTGATGACTTATCTAACGGTGCCTCAATGGGTGCTGGACTAATTAACATTCCCAAAGGATAACCTCTTCTTGGTTCATGGTTGCCTGAAAATTGGAAAGCAAACACTACAGTATTATACTTTCCCCATGATTATTCTCTGCACATTGCCATAACATAACAAAATTTAGTTCAGTACGCCCGGATAATTCACAGATTTTTAATTCTCGTTCCTCTATTATTCACGGATGGCACCCTGGATGCACCCAAGAATGTCTGCTGGTCGTTTTAAAGTCTAGAAGTGAGTTAAATTAATTTATTTACTTTCCAGCACCTTCAACAACTTCTATTGAGTCTCAGTACCTTGACCATCTTTACTTATCAATATTTCTTAACATCTATAAAATATTATTATTATTTTCACATAGCTTTTGAAATTAATACTTGTCAAATTAAACCAAAGATGCATGGTAAGTTATGCCACATGCTGCTTAACCAACTTAACCAAACTAGTTGAAAGACCTGATCCTCACAAACCAACAAACCACAAAATATGTTGAGTGAGATGTGGAGTTGATGAGAATTGTTCAATAAACACCGCTGGAAAGGTTAGCCACTTGTATCACACTAACCTTGATTCAGTAAAGCTGGTAATATATGATAACAAACCTTTTGACACAATTTAAGTGAGAAATAATACATCCACTTAACATTACAGTGGAGTCACGATAATTTGTGTGTTAGGTACTAGAAGACACTGTGAATTATCAAATTTGCATATTATACTGTAGTTTAATTGATTTAAATGGAAATAATTAGTTTTGGTTCCAGAGGCCAAAAATTACACACAAACTGTTACAAAACTGCTTTAATAAACACTATATATTGTACATAATACATAAAAAATACAGTAACTCATAGATATTGTACAAAAATTAGTTCTATACCTGTAGTACATAAACAGCTCCTTCCCTTCTAATGATAATTATGAGAAGGGAAGGAACTGTTCATAAAATATACAAGTAGAACTAATTTTTGTATAATATCTATGAGTTACTGTATTTTTTATGTATTATGTATGACATTTAGTGTTTATTAAAGCAGTTTTGGAACATCAACATCCAAACAGGCAGGCACCAGACTGGCTGTGACCATGCTATGTAGGCAAAGCACCAGGAATTGAATAATGCACCACACAATAACTCATCTGGGGTTGAGTGTGGGGGGTTTTGTTGGGGGGGGGGAGGGGGGAATTGATTACTTTACGATAATGTTTTATCAACCCGAAAGCAAATGAACCTAAATAACATGAGAATTATGAGGAAATTGTATAACGTTGTATTAAAGTGGTTGTAGCGGGACGAGCACTCGGGAACAGAAGGCGGGGAAGCTCAGTTTACCAGCCAGTCTGCCCTACCTCCTATCTTTCACACAAAATTTACTTCCCACTCTTCATTTTCCTTATTTAATAGTTTTATATTATATTTTCTTTATTCTTAAGTAACATTTGAGCAGTGAAATTATATTTACAGCATAGTGTATTATATATATTTTTTTAAGTCACAGGTCGGCCGTTGAAATGATATTTCCACAAATTTTATAGTTTCTTATGTCAATAAAGATGGCAGAGCTGCTAATTGGCTGCGAATTATGAATATTTGACCGCAAAATTAAAGAAAAAAGAGGTAAGGATTAAGGTATCCACGAATTTAAGAACATGAATTTGTATTTTGCGAATTATAACGACTCCACTGTACTTGATTATTTGATAACGCCTAAAACACCTAAAACTACAGTAAAATGTAAGCAGAGGAGAGGAGAGCCAGTCTGCTGCAATCATGCACTCAGACTGACAACCAGTAACTGAAAAGAAAACGGCAGATTGCCTAGATTTAAAGATGATGGACATAGCCTTAGCATGGTAAGTGACAACTGGGTAAACAAAGATTTAATTTTCATGGTGATACAGTATTTCTACAATGACAGTAAAAAGAAAAAAGAAATCTTTGTAAAACTGAGCTTACCAATCTGTGAGTCGGTATTCAGTCCAGTTCCATAGCAAGAAACTTCAGATGGTTTACCAACAGCAAACAATGTAAAGCCATAGCCACATGATAAATCTACAATCTGAAAAGAAAGGTGTACATCACTTATACAGTGGACAAAGTGCAGAAAAAATCAAATACAAATACCCGGTACACTGTATTTTCAACAACACCATAAAATCAAAGATGTATAAAATCAAAGATGTTATGATTCTGTAGAGCAAACTGCAATGCTGAGGTTAACTATACAGTGAACCCTCGAAGATCCGGACTAAGAGGGGGAACCACCCGTCCGGAAAAGCCAATTGTCCGAATCTTCCGGCGAATGTACTAAATGTATAAAAACGATAAGTAATAATGGTATAGAAACACCATAAATACAGTATATATTATCCTGACTACTGGGGTTAGTTACACCGACTTTTTCCTGTGAAAAAAACATAATTTTGAGCAACATATTACTGTACTCAATTGTACTCACATACTGTATACTACACTAAAGGACTAAATCTTTTATCTTTTTGCAAAATATGTAATGTCTATGCTCAAATTATCCTTGTCTTGCAAGGATTCAAGCAATGCAAGTTATATTATGCCAAGTTTAGTCTGTGAAATTTTACAAGATAAAAACTTTAAGCCAAAAACTACCTTCACCCTGGGAAGGGGGAGGTGAGGTGTTGACAGCCAGGCAGGGGGGAGGAGGGGTGTGGTGAGGTATTAACCAGCCGGTGGGGAGATCACCCAGTGCATAGTTATCTGTCATATAGTGGGAGTATAAGTTTTTCGCTTATAAAAGTCACAGAATTGACTTGGCAGAATATAACTTACATTGCTGGAGTTCTTGTAAGATGGTGATTAATTTGAATATAAACATGCTACAGTTTGTACTAGACATAACAATTTTAGTAATTATTTAGTACAGTACATTTGAGTACAGTACAGGTTTGCCCTTAGGACAATTATTTCTTTTATTTTTTTCACAATGTATTTAGGATAGTGTGTGCATGTAAACAAGTAAAAATAAATGAAGAAAGTTACGTATATCTATCCAAAAATACGAGTTGAGAAACTTTTACTTAAATGTACAACACTAAAAGACTAAATTTTTTATCTCTTGTGCAAGATACATGATGTCTATATTCAAATTATTTGTTGTCTTGCAAGGATTCCAAGCGAAATTTTTATTCTGTTATATTTTATTTGTTGTCTTGCAAGGATTTCAGCAATGAAATTTATATTCCGTTAATTTTAGTCTGTGATATTTTATAAAATAAACACTTTAAGCCTAAAACTACCTTCACCTTGTTTTGGTAATGCTTCTTAGGGAGGCTTCTTAGCCCAGAACCCCCAATTTTTTTTGTCCGAATCTTTTGAAATCCGGATTTACCGGGTCCGGAACTTCAAGGGTTTACTGTGCTAAGGCTGCCCTAACTCACAACTAAGACACATTCACACTGAATTGAACTTATTGAACTTTAATTTGAACAGATTATGTTAGAACTGCATTACTGTGTGAAGATTTATCAGTGCATTACAGTATATATATATATATATATATATATATATATATATATATATATATATATATATATATATATATATATATATATATATATATATATATATATATATATATATATATATATATATATATACACATACGTGATCTATTGAATTGCGCGGTTTCTGTCGATTACAGTAATGAATGACAGCTAGTGGCGGGTGGGAAATTGGAAGTGTGGCTTGCTTTACTAATGAGATATATTACTGTACTTTAAATAAAATTAGTGGAGAAGGATTAAGAAGTATTGTACAGGGAGACATTTTTTCCTAATTCATGTTTTGATTGTAAACATCAATAGTAAAATTCTATGAGCTAATAAGTTTGACTGAAAAGCCAAATACAGGTAGCATCAGATTTGGATGTCAATATTTGAGAATATCATCAAGGGAGAGTTAATAGAGACAAGCCTGGAGTAAGCACTCAAGAAAATAATTAGGAAGAGATCAACCATATTTTGCTCAATGATGAGTTACTTGAGTTTATTAAAGAAAACAAATCCTATGCTGTCTGTGGATCAGTGGAATAAAGCTCTTTGATGTACTGGACACTGTTACACATTTAGAATTAAGTCTTCACCTACATTATCAAATCAGTACCTTATGATATTCACCAAATCCAAGTCTATGAGGATGATGAACATAGGACAAATGCTGCTGTCTATTTTTATGGTCTGGACGTACAAAAGAAGCACGCCCCAGGGCTCCATGATCCGCAACTCCCCAAGTATAAATCAAGGTATCAGGCTGAGACCTAGCACCAACATACTCAAATTCTGGAAAAAAATGTGTATATGAGAGAAGTTATTTAAGGAATCATATCTGTCAAAATCACATAGTAATGAACACTGGCATAAGCCAAATACTGAAGTTACATCTGTTCTTATTAATACCTGTGCCCTCCATATACAAGACTGTACTGTATATATCTCAAAGGTTAAAAAAATAACATCATCAGGAATGCATCTCCAGATATACAATGGTACCAAATTAATTTCTCTAACACAATTAGAGCAGATGTTGTGAATAAAAGTTTATACACTCTTTTGCCTGCCTAAATGTATTTGCTACTTAGCTTTTGTATTTATTTCAAGAAATCTTCATGCCATAAGACCCACTAATTCCCCACCTGACATTGCATGAGACCATTAATCCCCCACCCAACCTTCCCTTGACATTTTATTAGGTCAGGTCAGTAACATGAGATCCACTAATCCCCTGCCACACCTCCATCACAGCATTTCTTACTTTTTTCATTAAAGAGAGAGATTTCTTACCTGGCAATTCATCTGCATGGTGCGGGTCTAATGGCTTGCGATACTTTGTTTTCTTCCCTCGTATAGAATATCCAAGACCTCCTGAGCCACCAACCTTCTGCAAAACTAAGGTAAAAAAGTAATTCATTATAAACAGAACTGTAGGTCTACGTGTATTTGACGTCAGGTATCACCAAAACCTTAAATGTAAGTGGAAACATAGTAAATATATTACACCTTTCACTGACAACTCTCACAAACTTTGACAATATCAGTCTTCCAACTGTCTTATTTCTACAACCTGTCTTGTACAGGGGGTCCTCCCTATACATCGGTGATGTGTTCCAGAGAAAAGTAACTAATAGTGAAACGTTTTATAACGACTTAATGTAATTTAGGGGTACTGTATACGAATTCCAACATTTACATTATATAATACCCATTGACAGCTCAGGTTGTGTTCCTAGAGAGAGAGCTTTCAGCATACCCTGGGTGAGTGATGGACCCAAAGTGAGGTGTGTACAGTTCCCACCTGATCTAACACACAGAAGGTGTAAAAGCGAGCAGGCCAACAGTGATACAGTACTGGTGTTTTACTAGGAACCCATCCACACCACCTCACTTCCAATTGGGAAACATTGCCGACCTGGGGTACACGCACATTTATCGATCTTTGGATCTATACTTTGGATCTAAAAGAAGAATGGCCTCTATGGAGAAAAAATTAACAGCAATACTGATCATACCTCGAGATATGAGGATGGATGAAGCTGGAAGGGATTTTGTAGTAAAAGACATCATGTTCTGGTACAATTCTGAAAAGGAAATTTATGGTTTAAATGAATCAGTTGTTTTCTACATATACATTAAGGTAAGGGAAAGGATGACGACTGTATTAGCCAACATTTTGCGAATGCTAGAGCTCTTAGGTAAAATGGAGCATTGATTTTGAAATACACTGCACAGTTCATTATTATTATTATTATTATTATTACACACACACACATATTTTCCCTCTACTTCAAAGCCCTGCCCACTTTTAGCAATCCAATTTGTTGGTAATTTTATAGGTTAAAATACTCGAAAAATATAAATTTTTGACGGAAACGCTATAGAATAAATTATTTTTAGTTTTTTTCTCTTTCCCCCTATATAAGATTCAATATACATTATAAATAGGTCTTGGCAACTACTAAATATTAACCATAAATACTCCTCCAAAAAATCTGACGCGTCACCACGTGACGTGTGCTTACAACCGACCAGCTCAGTCCAAGTATAATCTCATGTCCACAAAAAATTAAAGTTTACACCATGAAACTTCAACAAAGTTGCTTTCATTGGTACCAGATACAAAAATCTGTACTTTTTATTTAATATGGCAGGGGGTCCAGGGGGTCAAGTATCCCCCCCACCCCGGGGATTTTTGGAGCCCATGTTATTTGGGTTGTTTGAGCCATGTCTTTTAATAATCTGCTTGTCTGCTAGAATAAGAAGTAGGCCCACATTATGTAAGAGCAACATGATGCGTTCAAATCTTCACAAACTGACAGCTGAAAGCATTGACAGAGGCAATAAAAAGCTGTCTTCACCAATTTTACTAGAATAAAAAAAAAATGTTTTACATTGGACAGTTACTATTTATCTTTTAGCATAATGGAAAAGTACTTCATATCAACAGTAGGACTCGTAGCAACAGATTTAAGTTGGATAAGTTTAGGTTTAGGAGGGAGATAGGAAGGAACTGGTTCACAAATAGGGTGGTAGATGAGTGGAACAAGCTTAGCAACTTTGTAGTAAGTGCTGGGACGCTGGAAAGTTTTAAAAGGAGGCTAGATAGATTCATGGACGATAGAGAGTGGTAGTAACTCTCGACAGGAGCTGCCATGCACAGGACAACAGACCTTTTGCAGACTCCTTATGTTCTTATGTTTGTTAGGTTTGTTAGGTTAGGTTAGTTTTGTGCTTTTTGGCTGTTGAGCAAGCTGTTGCTCAACAAAAAATCCATGGTTATCCACTTGTAAAAATTACCAGCCAATCATATTGATGTATTTCAAGACACACCGCCCCGCTCACTGCCATCAACTCATGTAGAACTGGTCAGATCTATTTTTTTTTTTTTACGGGAATCAGCCCACCAGGGCACAGGTCAACGACCCACAACGGGGCCTGGGGGGCGAAAAAATAAGAATAGAAAGAAATTAAAAATAGTAAAGGAAAAGTTTATATTAATCTACACCACGAAGATGCCGGAAAACCAGCTGTTTAAAGTGAGAGAGAATGTATGAGTATGGAAACACAGAAGAAGGCAGAGCATTCCACAGTTTGGCTGTGTGATGAAAGAAAGATATACTATAACGGGGTTATTCTAGTGTGACCGACATCCACAGAGAAACTGTGGGCACCACGGGCAAGAGGAGTGTTACGAGCCCACGGCCTTGCTGGCGGTACACGAGATGCCAAATCCACCGAACATTGCCCGTCAAAGTACCTGTAAAAGAGAGAGAGTGTAGCAACATTGCAACGAAGAGAAAGGGAAGAAAGATTGTCAACTAAAGGAGGAGAGTTAATAAGACGAAATACCTTTGATTCCACCCTATCAAACAGTTGGACAGAAGAGCCACCCCAGATATGAGAGCAGTACTCCAAGTTAGGATGAATGAATCCCTTATATACTTGAAGCAACTGCTCAGGAGTGAAGTAGCTGCGGCATCTGTACAGCATTCCCAGCTTTCTGGAGGCAGGTTTAGCAATGTTGAGGAAGTGTGGCTTCCATGACATATTAGATGAAATGGTGAGGCCTAGCATATCTATTTTAGAAATTGGCAGAATGATATCCTCCTGAAATGTGATTGGTGGGAGATCATCTAATTTGGAAAGTGCAATTGGTAAATACTGAGTTTTATTACTATTGAATTTAACCAAGTTCCTACCTCCCCATTCGGAGATGCTACACAGATCCGCATTGACAGATGTAATGATATCAGCTCGAGAAACAGATCTAGTTTGAGAATTAGGGGGAAGGGGAAAATGTGAAGAAGAGTTTAAAGTAGAATCATCAGCATAAGAATGGATAGAATTAGTTGTAGTGTGAAATAAATCACTGATATAAAGAAGGAAGAGTACCTAACTTCAAACATGTATTGTCGCCACACCCAGAGGATGAATTTTGGCAGAGAACCTGAATTCAATAGCTAAGAGGCCAAGGTTTATGGGAACCACCATCCCACAAAATCTCCAGGGGGGCTCTAGGTGGGCCCCAGGGTGGTCTAAGGGCTGGCCAATGGTCTAGTAGGTTTCTTCGGTCGGTCTGACTAATTACCCAAATGTAGCCGCAATGAAGTCAAATAATGGTCCTACATGAATAAATCGGACTGCCAACCACTTCTCGACTAGTATTTGGTGTCACAAAGTCACAAAAAATTGGAAAACTTAATTTAAACTGAGTTAATAGATCGCGTGCTTGTACCGAGGGAGCGAGTTATTACCCACATGTACCCAAATGTAGTCGCAATGAAGTCAAATGATGGTCGTACAAGCGTAAATCGGGCTGTGAATCACTTCTCGATTATTATTTGGTGTCATAAAGTCACAAAAAATTGGTAAACTTAATTTAATCTGAGATGTGTTAGGTTAGGTTAGGCTAGGTTAGGTACATGCACTCGATCTATTAACTCAGATTAAATTAAGTTTACCAATTTTTTGTGACTTCGTGACACCAAATACTAGTCGAGAAGTGATTGGCAGTCCGATTTATTCATGTAGGACCATTATTTGACTTCATTCCGGCTATACAAACTCTGAATGGTGCCACTATAGTAAGCGTTTACCGGTACTCTACCTCTTTGAAGGCGCTCCTTTAAATTGCAACAAAGCTTTATATCAAACTATCACTTAATAAAATATAAGTAAAAATTAACAGCAATTTGTTAATAACCACTTTTTCTCTAAACATTATTTAAGGCATGGTAGAGGGGGCCGGGAGGTGCAGCCCTGCCTGATCTTCTCTCATCCCAGTGACCACATATCAAATAGATGATTTACTTACCCTATTCTTCAATTTAGTAAGTTATTTTAAATTTAACAGATGTATTAATCCTAAAATAAAAAAATTAGGGAAGAAAAAATCACATTGTATACCTGAACATGTATGTGAAAGACGTGTCTATATTATGACCATTAGTGACAGCTTGACACATGGTCCACTGGGTCTCCATTATAGACTATGAAAGAATAACATACCCAAGGTTTAATTGGCACAGGTGTCCATTATATTATCACCGTGTAGATAAAGTAACAAGGGTTTCTCAGTGAACTGTTTCCATCGCTTTTACAACAATAATTTATTTTAGATTTTACAGAAACTCTTCCTATCAGTTAAAATTCCCGAGATATTAACTATATTTTCATGATATCCTTAAATATAAATATTATAAGAGAATACCCTCCCTAAATAACAATTACTAAAAGATGAAATATGAATTAGAGACTTAAAAGATAATATAATTTTTAAACGGATTGAATAACCTATTAAAACAAGTGCACTTCTTGTTGCTCTTGATGTTACTCGCTGGCCGTGTAGTGTCTTCACATGAAAGCTGAGGAGGCCGAGGCTGACCGTCTGTTACATTCATTACTTGACTATGTGAAGGAGATATGAGTTCTTCAATGAGAAATGGTGGCAGTTCTCATAGGTAAAGTAACACTAGAGGGTCCTGATGAATGGATATTACCAATACTCTGATGTTATATTAAGTAAATCTGTACAGTGTTAGTCTGTCAAGCCTCTCTCTGACAGACCTGCCATAGGGTATCATTTATCACTATGTCACCTCACTCTTTTATCTGATATATTTAGGAACACTTCTTGTATACTACCTATAATTTGGTGGGTTTTTAATTATATTGTTGGTAATACTTTAGAACACTGTCCCTCCAATAGCTAGTAACATGACAAGAATTTTCCTTGTTTTTATTGATGACTTTACTGTTACAGCCTAATTGGTTTTGATGGATATTTAAGGTCTTTTTTATATTAGTGCACCGTTCTGTCTCGGTGTTAGAAATGTGTTTTGTTCTATATGTTTAGACAGTTCTAAGACATTTTTCTTCAATTATATTTTTGTCGGAAATTAAGGATAACCAAGATGTTATTTTTCTAATATTATTATCTTTTGTATGTCCTTGTTTACGTGGGACGGAGAAGCTCTTTCCCCCACCCCCACAGTTCCTGCTCCCGTGTGTTTGTTTCTTCGTCTGCAGTGCATGTGTGGGGGGGGAGAGTACTTATTGGCTAGTGGAAGTAGAGGGTGAAGGTAACGTTATTATTAGGGAGCACAGGGCGAATGAAGACTTATTATTGGGTAAGAGCTGTTTGTCTTAGCCAATGAGTAATGCGTGGGTGCTTCGGGAGGGGAAAGTTTAATTTGTAGCAGACATGGCTTAACAGGTGGAAGAGCTGTGTGGACGTTGTTAACACGATTACTTTACGTCTATTGCTGAGTTCCATCAGAAAAATACTGAGGCCATTGCATTTTTTAGAAAACACGGTGTATTACCGAACAACACGAGTTGTCCGAACTGTAAAAATCAGTGTACTTATCGTCTGATTAGGTTGGGTTGGGTTAGGTTGGTTTTTGGTGATTTTCTATGTTTTTTTTTTTTTTACAAAGAAAAAAGGGTAGGTTAAGATAGGTTATTTTCTTTCAGTATTAGAAATATTTTTTTTCCTATGGTTTTTGATAATGAAGGATTTTGACCTTGTTCTCCATTGGAAATCATCATCCGTTTCTGTGATTTCCCCCACCCAAAACTCCCACTTCCCAACATCTTCCCTTAAGAGTGTTGGGGGGAGTTATCTCTATTTAAAAAAAAAAAAAAAAAGTGTGATTTCTGACGGAAATGAATGTCAAATTCGTTCAAAAACCATAGGAAAAACATATTTCTTATACCCAAAGAAAGAACGGAGCACTACTATAAATTAACCATATTTTCTTACTATATATTCATCTCTGAGTTTGGATATGGGTAAAATTATTGTTTCGGTCATGCACCTATTTGGAAGTCGTTCAAAACACACACACAAAAAAAACATCGGAAAACCATAATTTTAACCTAACATAAACTAAACTTAAAATCCTCAAATTTGCTGCATTACCAAAACGATAATAATACCTGGATATGATTTTTATTTCATGGGCAAGTGCTTCGTTTGGTAGATAATTTGGAAGCTGAAGAAAGATTCAAAGAAATGATGAAGAGAACCATTTGCTTCATTACATAAGGATGGAGAGGAAGATCTTGACAAAGAATGAAAGCATTTTAAGATTGCAATTCTGTAGGATGCAGCTGAGAAATTTTGGTAGAGGAGATTAGGATATAAAATCTAAAAATGGGTGGTCGACTGAAAGGATGGTTGGGTTATTTTAAGCGAAAAAGGGGCATTTAAGTTCTGTATACATTAGCTTTAAGTGAGGAGTGATGAGAGGTCAACCAAATGAGTATTGTTAGTACAGTATACGTTACTGACTTAGAATGAGAAAAAGACCAAAGAAATTCAGCCTGCTTGCTCATTTATCAAGAATGTGATTCATATCTACCAGTAGTCAGGTACAGTATTCAAATTATAGCATGTTTAAGTTTCTCTTTTAAGTCAATATTCCTAATGTTGTGTAAATATCAACTGGCCTGATAATGAGTCCCTTTGAAAGGCAAATGGTGTTTACATAAATACAGTGAAGGGAAAAAATCTGAAAATGTGTGATATATTCTGGAATCAAGTTTCTGCAGAAATTTAGGACAGTTTTTGGGAATAGATTCAATTTCCTATGATAACAAATTAGGCTTACAACTTGTGTCCACATTTACTGATGGCAGTCATGGAGGAGGTAAATTGGTACAGAGGTTAGTGTTATTTTACAAATTTAGTCTTGATACAGTATATATTTTACTTTAGATAAAAGCATGAAATTTCAAGTGTGGGCCTTTCCTTACACAGGTACAATACAATAAAATGTTTTGTGCTGTTACATTAGTGTCAAATAAAAGTACTTCAGTCAGAACCCTAAAGAAGCATTTGGGAATTGTTTACCCAGTATTTCTTCTAAGTTTCATTTAATTTAAAAGAAAAAGAATCTTCTTTAGATATTTCTTCTATGAAAAGCATTTTTCTTTTAGTCCTTATTTGTAGGAGAAAAGTTTTAAAACTTCAATTTCCATGAAGGTACAGGTGTCTTTCTGCTGCCAAGAATTGTATGCGTCCTGGACAATGACAGACTGTGCCCAAGGAATTTTGCTGGTGGTATCTTTTCACTGGTCTACTTGGCTACAAAATTTGATTTTGTATTTTTGTGTTCTGTTTATAAGTTTTTCAGTGATTGGTATGTTTTTTTAATTGTTTTTAATTTGGGCATTTTTTTTATAATTGAATTGTCATTTATAATTTTTATCATTGTGATTTCAGGAACTACAAATACAGACGACTATCTAGTGTTGAAAAAGGATCTGGTAACTGTTACATCTCCTGTGATGAAGATGAGGATGAATTATTCACACCAGAGGCCACTGAGCTAAAAAAAATTGGTGGCAGAAGTAATAACACCGGAGCCAAATCTTCCTCCTCCGGCACTCCTATAAAGGTTGTGTCAGATTATGAGCATCTTGTTGACCGACCAATAAAGAGTGGAGAAACATTAACAGGCATTGCTCTAAAATACAGAATTCCTGTAAGTACTGTAATTACATTTTATATGTTACACAGATTAAAAACTAGCAATCTCTTTTGGCTTTGAATTCTTTTATGATGGTGTGATAGATCATACATATAGATATCAACAGTGTTTTTGTCCCAGGATTTGTCGATACCTGTATATGGTAATGGTTAGACATGTTTCACAATAAGCTCCAGGACTGAAGGGAGTGGCTGGGGGGAGAGTGCAGGCAAACGCAGCACCAAACATAGATTTTTTGCACTGGGATATACTACTGTACCAGGTACTACAAAAATTAGGTATTTTGCTGGCTATTAAAATTTAGAGGAATACAGGTACAGTATTTTGAAATTATGTTCATTTTTAGAGAATTATGGAATAAAGATGGCCAGAATAACAATGTTCTAGTGTGTAGGTGGGTGGTGGGTGCATATTTACCTTCCTGCCTGCATGCTTGTGTGAGTGTGTGCATGCATACCTGAGTGTTACATTATAGTAAGATTGTTGTGAGCTAACATACACAGGAAAAATAAACACATAAATATTTGACCCACTTACACTATGCAATACACACAAAACATATACCTGAACTCCTCTAATTTGACAACTTCACTGTTTACCCTTCTCACATTACCCAAGGAGTCTAAATTTGATTGGCAAATTTGATTTTTTTTTTTTTTAAGATGTGGGTTTTTGTTGGAGTAATTCAAGCAGGTAATTCAGGCAAATTAGTCACCCTGCCTATAATATGGTCTTTTCATGCTATGTGTGGTTTTAGCCTTAAAACATTTTGACTCTGCCCCCTGACTTTGGTTTATATTTTATATTATAGCCAGTCTACACCAAGTCAAATTGTGTCTCGGTGGTCTGTTTTTCAATCTAATCCTTCCATTCTAGTACAATACCTTAAACACCAGTCACCTTTTTACAACAACACATTAATATAGCATCACATATGCATACTGTACACACATATATACACTCAAAACACACACATACCTTCCACCCTACCATACTTTGCAGACTAATCTGTGATATATACTCAAAGTGAAGGCACAAAGACATTGAATGCAGGTTAAGTAATGTTTCTTCTACATATGTATTCTATCGATTATGTTTTAAGTTATTCAGCCCCATCATTTATATTTTACTTCACATGTGCAATCTAATTCTTTTATTTCACATACGAGGTGTCACGAGAAGGAAGAGCAAAAACGCTAAAATTATGTTTTGAGTCAAATGCGTTGAAAGTTAAGAAATGTATAATTATTTCAAATACTGTACAGGGCATCACTAAATTTTGGTGTTATTTGTGGTTTGAAAGAAACTTGTTTTCTGTAGATTTTTATTTTTATTTTTTTCAATTGATTATAATTACCCACATTAATAACCATTAATTTATACAGTATTTGGCGTAAGCTAATGAAAATGATATCACTAGTAGTTCGCATAAAAGTATACAAAAAGGTATTGTCACCATTGACTGTGTGAAGTTGGTTTACCTGTATATAAACCTAAGAAAATAGCAGAAATAATGGATTGGAAACTGGCATGTCAACAACATGCTTGACTGTACATCCTAACATGATGTTCATTGGCTGAAGGTGGCAGGTGGATTGTAGCTGGGAGGTGATTGGCTGTCTCCCATGCCCTTTCTACTCAGTAAGCTACACCTGACTTTATACCATGATTAGGAATAGCACATCAAAATTTTCCCTTATACTGTAGGATATTGTAGGGCTGAAGGTCACTTTTGCCATGGCTCACCTGCAGGTTTCTGCCTGCGAAGGGAGAGAAAAAAAATGTACAAGGTGGCGAGTTCACCCTTCCTTCTCGCGACATTTCTTGTGTTCCAGCATTACTTTGTTATTTCATTTTACCAATTTATTCACCTTTGCTAAATTTTAGTTGCCAGATAGTGGACTGGGCCCTGATATATTTGTCTTGGGTTTGAGCTACTGTTTAGTGGTTGGCAAAGGATTTTTATGAAAAATGCTAATAAATGTTTATGGGAAATTTTATTTCCCCAGGTGTCAGAATTGAAGCGTGTCAACAAGATAATTCAAGAAAAAGAATTTTTTGCCCTGAAATCTCTGAAAATTCCAGTAAAGGCAAACTCATTTCTTGCCGAGATGTTAAAACAAGAAGAACAAGATGCTTGTAGTGAAAATAGTGCAGTTGCCATTACCAGAGCTGCAGTCTTAGGTACAAGAAGTTTAAGCAGTTGTAGTGAGTACGAGAGTGACTCTGAAATGCATGTGGGTTATATTAGTATTGATCGTATTTTAAGAGATACCCGCACTAACAAGGAAGCAAAAAGATTTTTAAATTGTATGCAGAAAGACTTAGCTAACATCCGGGAAAAAACAAACTCTTATAAAGATTCTTTAGTTGAAGTTGCTGCAGTTCTAACAGACCCACGTTTCCGTCCACTGGAACAAACAGAGGATAAGTGTACAGGAGCCGACTGGGGCATCAGTTGGTGGAAAGTTTTACTGGCAGGGACAGTGCTACTTGTTGGAGCTCCTTTGTTGTACATTTACCTGTATCTTGAGAACAAATAACTTATGTTTAGGTGTATTGGCAGACGGAAACTTCATGTGAACTAGCTTATGATTCATCGTGGGTGCTAACTATGGTAGAGATGGTGCCTCTCTTGGGAACACTAATAAATGGTTGCATCCCCAGTGTCCCAGGAAAGTCCTAATTTTATTTGGTGGATGCTCTTTTTCCAGTGAGAAAATTTGTATAAACAAATAATCATAGAATGGGAAATAAAAAATATTTACTGTTGGACATCTTGAAGTTTCAAAATATTCTTTCTGTTCACATGAATCTATATAGAAATATCCAGTTCAATATTTGAAGCAAATACTGCAAAATATTTTAAATTTGCATATGGTTCATAAACACTGCATAGATTATAGTGATGCAATATGACATACAGTACTGTATAGTACTATTGTTACTCATTATTTCATTAATATATTTCATTGTTTATCCATGTACAGTATAGTTCATGCACTTTCAGCATGATAAGAGTGATTACCAGTTGTTCATTCAATTTATTTATTTATTTTTATTTTTTTTTATTTTTTTTTTATTTTTTTTTTTCAAAAAAAATTTTCTGTACATTTTTAGACATGTACTGTACTGTATTTGGGTTTTCTGTGAGAGCTTTTCTTTAATGAACTTCATGTGCAGGGATTATCAAAGGATATGTACAGTATTTTGAATAATAAGATTTTTCTATAGATATGTTTGCACAGTGGTCCCTCGGTTAACGAACACAATTCGTTCCAGAAGGTCGTTCGTTAACCGAAACCATTGTTTCAATGGGATTTTGGGTAATTGGTTCCAGCTCACCGAAAATTACATACAAAGTAAAAATAAATGCAATAAAGTACAGTATACTTAATTTGAGGTGTGTATGTAGAAGGCTCCTGGTTGATGATGATGATGGGAATTAGAAGTGGGGGTGGAGGAGAAGGGAGAAGAGAAGGAAGTTGGGGTGGAAGAGAAATCACCCCATGCTTCATGCCGCCATTTCACCCATAAAATTTTAAGTTCACTTGGTGTAGTTCAAGATTATTTTCTTTAAATCAACACTGCACTATATATTGTCAATATGTTAAATAAATTTCAGAATGACATATAATTGTACTGTAAAAATGTAAAAATAGTTTATGTTCAAGAGAGCCACAAGCAAGATATTACCTCCACTGACCAGAGATACAAACTGACGCCTTTGTGGGTGAGTCAAGTGGCTGTTGGGCGCACCAAAAACTAGTTTCCTGTACTCCAATTATGTTAAATAAGTGTTAAAATGACTAATAATTTTAATATAAAACTTGGAAAATTATTGAATAGTACAACCTTCTTGATGTTTACTCAAATGGGAACGAATTTAAGCCCTAGAACTGATTCCTGTATTGGCGGACAAATATTCCAGCTGGTGAGCAAGCGAAAACATGTTGACATGATTTCATAAAAATTTCGTTAACCCGATATTTTTTCGTTAACCGAATTGAAGATTCTTATGGAAGGTAATTCGCTAACCGAAATTTCTTTAACCGAGGCGTTCGTTAACCGAGGGATCACTGTACTTTACAAAGATATTTTGGGGTCTTTTTAAGTCATAGAAAAGGCAAAAGATACAAAAAGGAACCAGAAGGCAAGACATTTTAATAATCTGTGATTTGCAATGCCATAGTGTAGATTTCCAAATCTTTTGACCTCTACTCATTGGGTAAAAGCAAGTTGCTGGAGACCACTTAATTCTGTTGTCATTCCTATTTTAATGTTTGAATATTGCCCAGGATTAAAACAGTGAGTTTGCTTTTCAAGTTTATGTAAGTTATTTTGATTAAAAATAAATTAGTTAAGGACAGGATGATAAAAGTCCTTAAGTGATAATAGTCAAAAAGTAAATCCCTCAGAGATCAGTGTTAGTTGTTGATTCATTCCACATTGTTAGTATGAAAGTTTGGTGTGTCCTTTAAATGTTTGTCTGTTGTAATGTCATGTAATTTTTCTCTTGTGAAACGTTCTGATGTCAGTATTTATTCATACAAGCAAGTACATATACATTGTTTGTAGAAGGTAATTACCTAACATTAATAATTAAGAATGAATGAAATTGTTGTTATCCCCTGTTGAGTTAGTGTAATGGTTGCAGTTTACATCGGCCCTGGTCCCAATAGGTTCTATATCTTAACTTCATCTAGTCGTTTGGATAAGGATTTAGGTCCATTTGGTCTAAAGTCTGTTGACTCGTACTTTAGAACTGAGGTCTAGGGTCAGTTTGTAGCAAGGCAGACAGACACACAGAGAGTCACTACAGTTCTTTAGTATTTAATCCATCATATTTATATTTGACATTTTAGGGGATAATAACTATTCTGTGTTGATCTCTAATAATTTCTGCACTTGGGGAAGCAAAAAATAGCATGTGAAATGTCAGTCGGCAGACAGACAGGCAAACTACACAGTATTGTGTACAATGTGGGCATCTTGTACAATGCTGAACTCACACACACTACATCAGGTGTGCATTAAATGTACTGTACACTTTCTTTTTGATATTTTTGCAATCATTTCCTTCTCTTGTACACACACCACTGCCTACTGCTTCAGCCCTAAGGCTGCTAAACTAACACTGTCATTTTACCAAATTTTCCGCCGCTAATACCTGTTGTGTAAATTTCCGATGTTTGAAAGAATATTATCGAGAATTAGAAGTTTGTGATTTTTTTTCCACAAAACCATTCCAATAAATTCTAATTATAAAAAATTTCAAGGCTTACAAACATCTGAAATTTACACTATCAGCGGCGAAAAGTCGCTAAAATGACTGCTATGGCTGCTGTCTCTGCAGCTAACACAAACAGTCCCAGTATGGACTAGCTATCAGACAGATGGTTAGACTGCACCTAGGGAGGTTTACAGTCAATGCCAAACACTTGTTCAAGAATGTAATGTAGCAAAAAAAGTGACTATACACACTGGCAGTAATTCTAATAAAGCTGGACATTTAATAAGATTTGCTCCAAAGGCGAGACATTTTCAGGACGACTTGAGAAAGCAAGACACATATCTAAAATGCGGGACTGTCCCACCGAAAATTGGGACTCCGATCAGTTTAGATTTAAGCTCCCCTTCGCCGTGTGACACCACGTAGCATGGGGGTTAAAATGGGCATGGAAGTCGCTGAAATTGTGTAATCTTTTTCTTGGTCTATTTATGATATACATAAGTTACCAATGCATTTTCCATGGTAAATTTTACATCTGCACTTAAATTATTATTCCTTAAAATATTAAATTTAAGCGCAATATTTTATATACTAAAGAACTGTAGTGACTGTGTGTGTGTCTGTCCGTCCTCCAGTAAATCAGCCGCCTTTCTACTAACTGACTCATGGCCTCAATTGCAAAGTTCAAGTGAACAGACTATAGGCCCCAATCTGAATGGTTAGGTTGGGGCCATTTAGGACTAAGGCTCATTTGATATTGTCATTGGTGCACTTATTCTTCTCCATTTAGTTGGAAAATGAAAGTGGTTGATACATAGTTGTAATATATATAAACAGTACAGTATATATATATATTTTTTTATGAATATATTGTATTATTAGTTACAAGAATGTTTACTGGTATATCTCTACCATGTAAAAACAAAACCTAAAACAAAGGATTTAAAAATAGCTTCATGTCTACAGAATCTTCACCAAATATTTTGGGTCCACTTTATTGTATCAAGTTTCAGAAACAACACTTGAGATAGTTGTTGAAGGATTTGCATTTAGGATTGGTTATTATGGCATTAACTAACCATTCATAGTTAATTTGTACTAAAAAAATTGCTGGACAAGATTGAGACTTGCCCCAAAGAATACATGAGGGTAAGAAGTAGGAATAGATAAACTAAAGGGAAAAAATAATATTAAAAAAAAAAGACAAAAAAATTCTGAGGTAGTATGGAGTTTAAAAATGAACTACATTGTGAATTTGGCTTGAAAAAAGAGCCATTGGTCAAAGAGAGAGTGTGTGTGTGCGTGTGCTCTTTTTCCCATGATATTATTTCCTGTGGTTATTAAGATAGCCTGCTCTATTATATACACTTATGTGAAGAGACTTATACTACTACACCTGGTGGACGGACAATTAGATATACTGTATTGGGAATTTCTTGTTGGGCTTTGCATTTATCACTCCATTGTCATGTAAGAGAAATAATGAATAACTGTCAATGTCTTGAGATCGAATTGAGAAAATGTATTACTTTTTTTTTTTTTTTTAGGACCTAACCCTGTCTCGGCTTGGAACCCAGGAAAGCCCTTACATTTGCTTGCTGGGGCAATAATCCAATATTAGCATTCTCCCCTGCAAGCAACTGTAGCATGTAAAAAGGGGTAATATTGATCGATTCGCTCTTGAAAGTCATGGGTTCGTGGGAAAATTGTCATGGATATTAAAAATGCTTGTGTTTAAGGTATCTCCTGATAGAATAAATTAAAATTAACCATACTGTACTTAAACTGCAGTCACACTAGTGTTCCTACCCAGAATAAATCCATCATAACATTGATTTTTCAACAAACTCCTCAAGACAGGAACGACTTATTTGTTGTCGAAAGTGGGACGATACGGAGCGTCTGAAAATCCACGGTACAGTGGGTTGAAATTTGCTAAAGAGTCTATTGTATTAATAAAATTTACACCTTTCTTATTTTTTTCTTAATGTTAAAATGTACACAAAATTTCAAAAATGTATTTCAATAACAAAACACAAGCAAAAATGTTATTGTAAATGAAAAATAATCTAATAATACATCATGGCAAAAATTTCATTTGACTCTACAGTACTTGCATCACTTTTGTAAACAAACATCGCTTGGACGCTACAAACGCACACTAAATTTCCGTGATGGATACTGTAAGTATTCCTTGGGGCAGAGTCTCAAATTGCTCTCATTGAAAAGTGAAGTACGTAGTACCCTGCAATTTGTAATTATGAAAGCCCCGATTTCAAGAGGAAAGTGATGAAAAGACACTGCTACCAGCTGGATGATTGGTCGATGGTTCCTTTCATCTGGGTGACCAGTGTGCGGATCATACCGTTGACTTATTGCTTTTGGATGAAGTGCTATCGTGGATTTATTGCACAGAAAACTCTAGTGTGACCGTAGCTTTATGCAACAGACAACTCTACTATACACAGTTCATCTTTTAAGACTTAGGTCAAAATGTCCCTGGTACCAAGTGTGAATGTGTTCTAGAGATCTCAAGAAAGAA